AAATATTGAGCTGAGTCAGGAGGTTTTTGATGGGAAAATGTCGGAGGAACTACAAAATCGAGGCGATCTCTGTGCTCGACTTTGTAAACAGAATCGAGGCGATCTTCCTGGGCATTCAGGTATAATCCCTCTCTCTTATTCCCAACTGAACCAATAAAAATAGAGATTTGGTTTGTAGAGAAAATCATCCTTTTTTTTTATCCTTATAAACTAGATATGGGCACTATAAACTACAAACGGAAACTACAAATGGAAACTACAAGCGGAAACTACAAACTACAATCGCTAACTTCAAAAGCTTCTAACTTGCTAGTCTAGTCGAGCGAGATCACTACAAGCCATTGTAACTTTCTTTAGCATTAATATCTTTAAGTAAACTTTAGTTCATTCAAAAGCTCTTGAAATTGTCTATCTTTTGAGCTATAGATCATCATAATCCAATAGATTTAAAGCAAGTTAGAAGCGTTTGAAGTTAGCGAGTGTAGTTTATAGTTTCCGTTTGTAGTCTTTAGTTTGTAGTCTTTAGTGTGATAGTTCGTTTTGTGAGAGTGAGAGTCCAATGCTCGATGCAGTAGAGAGACCGCCCGAACCCATGGAGAATGATGAGTGACGACGAGGGCTTCCAAATGGTGATGTCGACTGGTTCGTTTTTTTTTAGTTTATAGTCTCCATGTCTATTGTCAAGATTAGAGTAAGGTCAGAAGATAGATCCGCTTGCCTTAAAAGCTTTAGATAGATAGGTCCGCTTGGTTTAAAAGCTCTAGATAGATAGATCCGCTTGGTTTAAAAGCTCTAGATACATAGATCCGCTTGGCTTAAAAGCTTTAGATAGATAGGTCCGCTGGGCTTAAAAGCTCTAGATAGATAGGTCCGCTGGGCTTAAAAGCTCTAGATAGATAGATCCGCTTGCCTTAAAAGCTCTAGATAGATAGATCCGCTTGGTTTAAAAGCTCTAGATAGATAGGTCCGCTTGGTTTAAAAGCTCTAGATAGATAGGTCCGCTTGGCTTAAAAGCTCTAGGTAGATAGATCCGCTTGCCTTAAAAGCTCTAGAAATCGTTGGATCATTGAACATTCATTGAATCATTGAACTTAAAAGGATCTAGATTTCGAATAAAGCAAGAAATCCGATTGAATGAATTTGTGAAAACCCAAAAAATTGAGAAAATCTTTTGTGTGGGTGTTGAGATGAGAAATAAGTCTTATAATCTTGAAACGAAAGAAAAAGGAGAAGAAAGAAGAAGGAAGAAAGAAGAGAGCCAAAAAAAACGAATCAATTTCAAACGACTCTCTCCGATTTCTCTCCTCAATTCCCAGCGGTTACAATTAGAGTGTTTATGGTGGATTATGAATGATCAAAGATTCAATGTTATTAGGTAAATGCATAAGAAATTCGAATTTCAACATTTTCATCAATTTCCAACGATAGAAAAATCGATGAAACATCGATGAATCATCAAGCATCGATGAATGTTATAAACTATTTGAAAGTTGTAAATCTTCTCTACAAAATAAGCTAAAACGTGTTTCAATTGATCGAACGATTGAAGAAATTTCGAGGCCGAAATGCGAGTGACCAAAAGACCAAAAAAAGGAATCGAGTCACTTTAGGCAAAAGTTTAGTGTGGTCAAAATAGTTGGTTGATTGGTTGGGTTGATTGGTTGGGTTGACTGCTTCCCATCCCGCTTCCCATCCCGCTTCCCACCCCGCTTCCCCTCCTGCTTCCCCTCCCGCTTCCCTCCCGCTTCCCCTCCCGCTTCCCCTCCCGCTTCCCATCCCGCTTCCCATCCCACTTCCCATTCTGCTGCTTTAATGCTGGCACCACTTTGAACGGGAAAACACCTTTGATTTTTGTCAATGCCTGTGTCAAAATCAACAAGGATGTGCATAAAAAAATTTTCAACGATGTTCTCGGAGTGTTGGAGCCTTGGAGTGTTTTCCATTTCGATTATTGGTGTTTCTAGAAAGACTCTCTACCAGCACAAACAGTACAGGATTGGTGTGTTCAGATTTTATTGTAAACGGATTTTATTTTATTTTATTGCAATTTTATTGCACTAAATTTGCTAGATCTCAATCCTCTCGACTTTTCTGTGTGTGCTCGAGAAAGCTTGCTCTGTACCACAATTTAGAATCTCTTGAAATAGCTTATGGGAAGAATTGAGTGATGAAGACTTTGGAGAACTTTTGATATCTTTATGGAGCTTGTGTGGAGCTTGTGTAGAGCTTGATGGAGGGATCTAAGGAAGATTTAAGTGCTGAACACTTCGGAGAGCTTTTGATGCCTTTATGGAGCTTGTGTGGAGCTTGTGTAGAGCTTGATGGAGGGATCTAAGGAAGAGTGAAGTGCTGAACACTTCGGAGAACTTGTGATACTTCATGGAGCTTATGTGGAGCTTCATAGAGACTTAAGCCTTGTGTGATCGCAAAAGGAAACCTCTTTCTTTCAAAATCAAAGAGTTATAACTTGTTTGTTGAATGTTAAATAATTTGTTCTATAGTTTTTAGCTCTTTAATTGAGTTTTTGGTTGGAAACGAGATGTTTTCTTAGTGCCTCCGTAATCTAAGATTCTCTAAGAATCTAAGACCCTCCAAGGGCCGTATCCGTGCCATCCTCTATCCATTAACCAATGCAGTCTACTAGAAGTTTGCTTTGTGCTTTCGCAAGCCCAATCTTTCTCAAGCACAATCTTTCTGGTGTTCTGAATTGAATGCAGGCTCTCAATTGAATGCACAATCAGCCATTGGCAAAGATGTGAAACGATTTGAATTGGCACAAAGAGGAAAGCACAAAGAGGCTTTTTTTTTGAGTATTCCTATAGGCAATCACTGACCCAGTTTGACACCTGTTACTCAAATGAGAACCTCGTTGATCTTATTTATGAATTGTTGTGAAAATGGCAATGAATCGACATGAATTGTTGTGAAAATGGCAATGTAAAGATGGTAATTGATAGTTTTGACGTTGTTTAACAGTAGTAAAGTAGTAAAATAGTAAACAGTAGTAAAATCAAAGCTAACTGTAAGCTTAGAGAGTTGAATGAAAACAAGGAAAGAGTTAAAAACAAGAAAAGAAAGCCTTACCTTCTAGACCTTATCTTCTAGACCTTTCAAAAGCTTTCATCTAGAATCTGAGTCATTAATCTCTGTTTAAACTAAATGCACTAAATGCAAAGGGCCCTAAAGACCCTCCAAGGGTTCTAAAGACCTTTCTAGGGCCCTAAAGACCTTCCTAGGGCTCTAAAGATCCTCCAAGGGTTCTAAAGACCTTCCTAGGGCCCTAAAGACCCTCCAAGGGCTCTAAAGACCTTGCTAGGGCCCTAAAGACCTTGCTAGGGCCCTAAAGACCTTCCTAGGGCCCTAAAGACCTTCCTAAGGCCCTAAAGACCCTCCAAGGGTTCTAAAGACCTTCCTAGGGCCCTAAAGACCTTCCTAGGGCCCTAAAGACCTTCCTAAGGCCCTAAAGATCCTCCAAGGGTTCTAAAGACCTTCCTAGGGCCCTAAAGACCCTCCAGGGGCTCTAAAGACCCTCCTAGGTCCCTAAAGATCCTCTAAGGGCTCTAAAGACCTTGCTAGGGCCCTAAAGACCTTCCTAGGGCCCTAAAGACCCTCCTAGGTCCCTAAAGACCCTCCTAGGTCCCTAAAGACCCTCCAAGGGTTCTAAAGACCTTCCTAGGGCCCTAAAGACCCTCCAAGGGCTCTAAAGACCTTCCTAGGTCCCTAAAGATCCTCCAAGTCAAAGATCGTTCTCATCCACGACAACGCGCCCTCGTGTTGCAAAACTGACTCGCTCTAAAATAAATAGCCTTCTTTGGGAACGCATTCCCCATACAGTCCGGACCTCGCCCCTTTTGATTACTATTTATTCCGGATCATGAGCTTGCGAGAGAACACTTCGATTCGGAAATCGAAGCCAATTTGTCAAAAATTGGCTTTGAAAGTTTTTCGATTCAATTCGATTCGATTTTTCGATTCAAAACCAAAATCCTACTACGAAAGAGGAATCCGCAAATGTAAAATGGCTCTACTATCGCCTTTTGTAAGCCGAGAAAGGCTTCTGTTGGTTTGAGAACTTTCGAGCAACTTCTCTAATCAGACTCCTTACTGGCATTATGGGCCAGCATTAGAGTTAGGACTAGAGCCAAGATCGAGTCCAGTGTTAGAGCTAGAGCCAAGATCTAGTCCAGTGTTAGGACTAGAGCCAAGATCTAGTCCAGCGTTAGGACTAGAGCCAAGATCTAGTCCAGTGTTAGGACTAGAGCCAAGATCTCGTCCAGTGTTAGGGTTAGAGCCAAGATCTAGTCCAGCGTTAGGACTAGAGCCAAGATCTAGTCCAGCGTTAGGACTAGAGCCAAGATCTAGTCCAGTGTTAGGGTTAGCACCAAGAGTCCAGCGGTGCCCCAGGAATGACCTCAAGCATTGACACCTCACTTGGCTGGGTTCCATTTGACCTCTACCTCGATATCCTTAGCCAACAACCTTTCCCAATCCCTGTGCCAATCCCTGTACCAATCCGAATCCCCAGCCAGCCCACCCCAGCCTTTGGCCTATCGCCAAAGGAGTAGTTGGTGTCAGCGTGGGCGCGTGTTTGTCGAAAATTTGAATCTAAGCGCCTAGCCTATTTCCCTAGACTCTCTCCTCATTTGCCCCAATATTTCCGCCGATTTCCCGGCCTTTCTTCTCTCACTCCATTATCTCTCCATCTCCCAAGCACCGCCCCCATTCCACTAGGCTTGGGGTACAGTTGAGCGTTCATTCATTCATTCATTCATTCATTCATTCATTCATTCACTCATCAGCCTAGTTCTTTCAAATATCTTTCTTAGAATCTTTTTTTAATTTATGAGATCTTATTAGAGCATCGATTTCTGTATTTTATTTATTAGATTTAAAGGTTTTTCGATTTTTCGAATTCTAATTTCTAAAGGATCTAAAGATCTTTCGAATTCTAATTTCTAATAGATCTAAAGCTTTTCTAATACGAAATTTTTCTAGATACCATGGCTCGCCCAGCAAAGAAAGCCGCTTCACCAAAGAAGGCCGCAAAGACTGTCAAATCTCCAAAGGTTTGTTTAAAAATGTTTGCTATTTAAAAGAATAATTGCTGATTTGCTAGATGCAGATTTGCTTATTAGATATTAAATTATGGGTTAAAGTAGATCTAGAAAGCTTAAACTATAGCCTAAAGTGCATTTAGGACTAAAGAATGGCTTTAAATAGATCTAGAAATATAAAACTATAGCCTAAAGCACATTCAGAACTAAATAATGACTCAAAATAGACCTAGAAAGCTTAAATCATCATCTAAAGCACATTCAGAACTAAATAATGACTCTAAATAGATCTAGAAATCTTAAACTATGGCCTAAAGCACATTCAGAACTAAATAATGACTCAAAATAGACCTAGAAAGCTTAAATCATCATCTAAAGTGCATTTAGGACTAAATAATGGCTTTAAATAGATCTAGAAAGCTTAAACTATGGCCTAAAGCACATTCAGAACTAAATAATGACTCTAAATAGACCTAGAAAGCTTAAATCATCATCTAAAGTGCATTCAGAACTAAATAATGACTCTAAATAGATCTAGAAAGCTTAAACCATGGCCTAAAGCACATTCAGAACTAAATAATGACTCAAAATAGACCTATCAACTAAAATCTCATAGTACAAATACAGATTTTCAATTTTAAAACCTCCTAGATCCAATGACTCATTGTAAAATTCGAATAACTGAGTATTAATACTGTTTATCTTACAGTAATCTTACAGTAATACTGTTTATCTTACAGTAATACAGTAATCTTAAATATCTTAAATGTCTTAAATGTCTTAAATGTCTGAAATCTCCAAAACAAGTCTTTAAATGCAAATTTCTTCAGAAGGAGAAGAAACAACGCGCCAAGAAGGACCCAAATGCGCCAAAGCGCGGCAAATCCGGCTACATGTTCTGGTTGGCGGACAATCGTGCTCGTTTGACCAAGCCCGGCATGGCCGTCACTGAGGTTTCCAAGGTTTGTTTGCTTTCGGAATATTGAATAATTTAAGCCCTAATACAGGCAAAAGTTTTCTAATGCTTACTAGACACAATTTGCTTTAATCGTAGTACTGTAGCCAGAGTACTGTATCCGGTACTGTAGCCGTTACTGTAGTCAGCATTTAGCTTAGGTAGTCAAAAAGTTTACTGCAAGTGCCTTTGGGAAAAGCACTAAACTGTAGAAATTCAGCTGTAATAAGTTTACAGTAGTATTAGATAATAAAAAAAAAAACGAATCCCAATTGCAGGCCGCTGGAGTCGAGTGGAACAACCTGAAGGACAAGACAAAGTGGGAGAAACTCGCCACCGCCGATAAGGCTCGTTACGAGAAAGAGAAGGTGAGAAAAGATTGGGGAAATCGTGCTGTAGCTACTTTTTAGTAGCTAGTGTATACGGTAGATGTTGAGTGTAGGATAAGAAACGCGTCTACAGTAGTCTATCGTCTATAGCAATCTATCGTTTATAGTAGTCTATCGTCTATAGTAGCTGGGTAGGAAATATTCAGCTTTTCTAGTAGCTTTTCTAGTAGAAGTGAGTAACTGACGAAGAGTATACGGTAGATTTGGATGGGATATAGAAAATCCTTGGAAAACCTTCTAAATTCCCCCATTCTAGGCCGCCTACAAGGGAGGTTCACCCAAGAAGACTGCCGCCAAGAAGAAGTAGATCATCCATCCACATTGCTGGTACTTCTTCCGGTGCTGCCTTTTTCAAATTTTTTTTTATTTTTGTCAATTTTCTGATCTCATCTGTTCACTGCCTCGTTTTCTTTGTAAAATTTTGATGCCTTTTTTGTGAGGATTTGATGCAATAAAGATTTTCGATTATTTTAATAACAAAACACATCAAAAAACAAAATCACAACAAGAACGAAATAACAAAATAACAAAATGAGTATAAAAAGGCAATAATGAGTTAAAAACTGGGCTTAGTTGGTTTCAAATACCTCTAGAAGCCTCTAGAAAGATCAAAAACAGATGGTGTCAAATAGAAAGATCAAAAACAAATCTTTGCACTGAACTTATTCATTTGTTGTGTCCGATTTGGATTGAAACAATCGCAAGCACTAGAATTTTTACTGTTATCTTGAGTGTTTCTTAGTTTTTATGAATCTATAAAAGGTTTTGCGTAAGAAAAAAGTCGAATAGCATTAATAAACACTTTATTGAGCCTTTAATGAGCACGTATACCTAATTTTTTTAAGATTTTTGCGTATTTTGGGATGGTAAAGTGCTTGAAATTATCTATTTTACTTTTTTGTTCTCCAGTTGGTCTAAATGCCGTAAAAATCAGGTAAAAATGACAAAAATTTGGTTAAAAACTTAAATCAGAAGGATTCTAATGAAAATTTACGAAACTCAATCCAAATCGGCGATGATTTCAATCCAAATCAGGCAAAAATCAAAAACCGGAGACAACACATGTAAAAACCAAGTACCTAGAAGTACAATCTAACATCTATAACAACACCTATAAACATCTATAACCATCTATAACCATCTATAACCATCTATAAACATCTATAAACATCTATAAACATCAACAACTACAAAACTTGTGCTATCTCTTCCTTTTCGATCTTTCTCCTCTTCTTTGCCACCACTCCTCGATGCCGTTTTCCTTGTACATGTTTCTCGAAATGCCTCTTTCCATGTATAATCACCTCACACTCGTCACATCTCAACACTTGATTCGATTCCTCTCCACTCTCCGGACTTTCGTAATCACTCGGCAATTCCGGCAAGTAATCTTTCCCATTCAGCCATTCTTTCATCTTCTCGATCGATGCATCGATATACGTCTTTGGATTTGATGTATCAATGCACAGAATCGATGGATATTCTTTATCGTCTTTTCTCCATAACAATCGATTCCTCACCCAAGATCGTTGTTTTCTTGAATATTGGCGAGTGTGCAATTGTACGTCTAGGCAACATTTCGTAAACATTTTATCTCCATTCTCATCTCTTCTCTCGATCAATTGCAGATATGGCTGAAATTCCTTTAATCCAATCGCTTGCATCACTCCGTATTTTCCTGAATCGATCACCTCTTTGTGTGCTTCATAGAAATGTTCGACTTCTTCGCGTAATCCATTCACATGCATTTTCTTCACTCGATCATCTAATCGTTTATCCAAAACTTTGGGATCCGCATCCAATGAGAAGAACAGAGAATTTTTAAACCGTAGTCGAGTCACTTGCTTTGATAAATGATCACTCTTTCGAAGTCCCGTCTCAGCAAAAATGTTGATCGCTCGTTGCACTCGTGATCGATTATTCGGATGAACTTTCGAAGCAGATACCGGATCGATTTTCTCCAAATGTTTGTGCAATTCCTCATTCGACATCTCGGCGAAAGTTTCCATTGTCGAAGTGCCAGGATTCTCGATAAAATTTTCATCATAAAGTACACTTTCGATGTAATACGTTGTCCCTCCGACGAGTATCGGAATAGCGTTTCTTTCGTGTATCTCATCGATCAACTTTAATGCCATTTGTCGGTAGTCGTGCACGGTGAATCCTTTCTCGAAAGCACTTGACGAGTTTGGATCGACAAAAGAGAAGAGGTGATGAGCGATACCTAAAAAACGATATTACTTTTAAAGTAATTTTAAAGTTAAACTATAAAGTTTGGTAATAAGGCAGTTAGGGGCATCTAAAATTTTCCTAAATGCAGTTTTTCTAGGGTAATTGATGACGCTGATCACAAAAAAAAATTTTAAAATTGTTTTCGATTAAAAAAACTCATTTATTGCCGTTATATTGGGTAGTTTGTGGCCCTTAAAAGGGCCACTGGTGGGTCGGCGCCCTTCTGGCTTTGGCCCGCACCTGACGCACCACTTTGTGTCGTTATGTATTATGTATGTCGTTAGTAACTTGTTTTGTTTTGAAAAACCCTGCATATCCCTTTAACTTGGTTTTTTACTTGTTTTTTACTTGTTAAAGACAGATTTAATAAACCCAATAAGGTCAAGGTCTTAAAGGCCACAAACTATAATGGCAATACATGTTTTTTAATTGAAAACATAACTTAAAAATATCTTTTTCGTGATCAGCTTTATCAATTACCCTAGAAAAACTAAATTTGGGAAATTTTAGATGCCCCTAACTGCCTTAGTACCTAAAGTTTATACTATTAGACACTATTACCGTATTTCTTCGAATAGAAGACTGGGTAAAGAGTATTATCGCGTACTCCTGCTTAGCAGCCCTTTTTAACATTTCATTTCTGCATAAAAGCTTTCAATTAAGTGCTATAGAGCTGGAAAATGGCTCAAAAATCTGTTAGCTCATGTGGTATTTTTGAGTCATTTTCCAGCCCTATAGCACTTCATTGAAAGCTTTTATGCAGAAAAGAAGGCTGCTACGCAGGAGTACGCGATGATACTCTTTACCCAGTCTTCTATTCGAAGAAATACGGTAGATAAACAAATTATTAGATAACTATTAGATAAACAAACAAATTTATACACTATTAGCTATCCTTTTAAAGACTAATTCAAATTCTAGAACTAAAGCTGCATAAACTAAAATTTGTTTGTTTCTCTAAAATTTGTTTGTTTCTCCAAAACCTGTTTCAAACTCCATAAATACTATTAAGGTATTGTATTTTAAATTATAATCAAAAATAAGAGGCATAAACATTAAATCATTATATAAATCTTTAACTTAGTACATGCTGCAGATAGTAGATGTAGATGTTGCAACGATGCTGATGTTTATGAAAGAATTACACAGTGCTGGAAAAAAAAGTATTAAGCCTCCCAGAATGTTTTTACTTTTTGCTTCAAAAAAACTTCTATTGAAAGTTTTTTGAATCCGTTCTAAATCTAATAGGCAACTTTTCTTAGTAGGTTTTGCATTTTGGTACTTTGTTTAATTATAGTTATTATAAAGAGCTTATCTACGCCAAAAACATTGGATTTGAACCGCGCCAAAACTGCCACGAATCCATTCAAGCCTCCCGCTTGGATTGAAATATTCATGGATAGATTTAGATATGCTGCAATATTAAAGTATTAAGTGCTTACAAAAAAGGATTTTTGATAACATTACGAAGCTTAGTTCCTCTAGTTTCTAGACATTTAGAAGGGATTCAAAAACACTTTCGATAGAAATTTTTTTGAAGCAAGTAAAGTAAAAACAGCCTGGGAGGCTCAATACTTTTTTCCACCATTGTATAATTCTTTCCTAAACATCAGCATCGCTGCAACATCGTTGCCTTTTTACATACAGTCGGCAAAAAAAGTCTTGCACCATTGTCTCTTAGAGACTTAAAACAAAAAATTTTCCGTAAAAATAACCGTTTCAGAGAAAACTTTTTCACAACTAATTCTACTATTTTTGTCTAGTTTCCGGACATATTAGCCATTTTTATTACAAGCATTTTTATTGTTTTACAAAAAGGAGTCCTTTTTACGTAAAACAAAGTTTTATCAGAGACACGTAAGTACAAACGGAGAAGGCATTAAATGTCGTCTATACCACAGTAAACAACAGAATACAACAATGGTGCAAGACTTTTTTTGCCGACTGTAAATCTACATATACTTTAAAGATTTACCTTTTGCTTCCTCATCAGTGATTTTATTCGTTGCAATGTCGAGTCCCTTGTAGATTTGCATGCTATCTGAGTTGACCACTTCTCCGCCGAATCGTTCACTCAATGCCACGCCGAGATCGCTTTTGCCCGTCCCAGTGCATCCGGCCACAAAGATTACCTAAAGAAACACTTTAAATATGGTTTTCGCAAATCTTTTAGACACTTTAGCAAAGAAATTCGATGAATTTCGATTTAATCATGGTCTAAAATTCGATAAACTCGAAAGAATTAACCAAATTTTCCAAAATTAACCAACCGGCTTCAAACGGGGCGCTTCGTTGACGAGAAAAGTGCTCATCCCCCACAAGCGCTTGAGCATAAACTAAAGAAAAATCAATTAGAGGCTAAATTTATGTAAATAAAGCACAGAAAAAAAACGATTTACTATAGTTTATTAGCTTATAGACAAAACAAGACAAGCTTATCGCGGTAATTTTCGCCATTTTATTTGCGCAATAGGGTCATTTGCTCAACTCACCCTAACTTTCTTCTGTGTAAGCTAATCTTTATGATTTTGGTGTCATTTTGTTGCACTTATTGAGATCTACAAAATGACACCAAGAGCAGAAAGATTGGTCGACTTAGAAGAAAGTTATTGATCAGAAGAATCGGAAGGAAGATGGTCCTGACCTAGATGAGTCATAACTTTCTTCTAAATCAGCTAATCTTTATGATTTTGGTGTCATTTTGTTGCACTTATTGAGATCTACAAAATGACACCAAGAGCAGAAAGATTGGTCGACTTAGAAGAAAGTTATGGCGAGTTGCGCAAATGACCCGGTTGCGCAAAAGATTTGACGCAAAGTATCCCGCTTTCTAGAGCTTTTTAGCTGCTAACTTTATAAAATTTTTATAAAGCTTAGCTTTTTAAAAGGTCTATTTTTACATTTATAATGCTAAAGCACATGAAAAGAAAAAAGAATTGATAGAGAAATGTTAGAAACGGACAGAAAAGTGACGTCATTTGGTAAATCGTCGTCATTGCACATTCAATTTCAAAAATTTTTATTAACTTTGACTGATATTTGAAGCAAAATTATTTCATTCTTAAATTTCTTCTGTCAAGTTGGGGGTGGGACAAATGCGACCTTTTTTTTGCGCACCTGGACATTTGCGCACCTTTTTTTTTGCTGGAAAAGGCCTTAGGAAAGGTCGTAGAGCTTCGAAAATATTTCTATGTAAGGGAATCGTATGTGTAGATTCCGAATTTCGACAAATCAGACCTCGCTGACACGTCAAATTTGGGCTAAAAGGCAAAAACTACGCAACTTAACGCTTTTCCGCAGTTTTTGCCTTTTAGCCCAAATTTGACGTGTCAGCGAGGTCTGATTTGTCGAAATTCGGAATCTGCGCATACGATTCCCTTCTATGAAAACATTTTTGAAGCTCTACGACTTTTCCTAAGGCCTTTTCCAGCAAAAAAAAAGGTGCGCAAATGTCCAGGTGCGCAAAAAAAGGTCGCATTTGTCCCATCCCCGTCAAGTTCAGTTTCATAGAATCAATTTTTTAATATATCATTGTTTTAGTTTCAAAAGTGAAGAAGGAAAGCGAGAAGAATCAAGAATCAACGAGAAGAAGCAATCGGCACGCAAAGTAAGGGTTTTACTTGCATTTCATGTTCTATTTAGTTCTCTAAATTTGGTTCCTTATCTCTACAAATTTGGTTCTTTATCTCTACAAATTTGGTTCCTTATCTTTCTAGATTTGGTTCCTTATCTCTAATTCTTTAATGTTTAGGTAACAGTGGAAGAAAGAGAAAAAAGCCAAAGCCATGGATGAGTCGTTGCTTCGAACGTCTCCGCGCTAATCCCAATGAAAAAGGTTTGTAGTTTAATCATTGTTCTTTTCTGGTGAATATAATAAACGTTATTCGATTTACCCACAGTTAGTTTAATACATTTGGGTTAATACATACTTTGTGTCTTCAAAAGCTTCAAAAGAGCTTAAGAGGATGTTTGCTTGAACTACCTATTACTCTTTCCCTTTACTACTTTACGCATATATACAAATTAGAATTAAATTTTACTCTATCTGACTAAATGCATACCTTTTCAATACCCTGTACTTTTAGCCTCCGAGAAGAAAGCTTCGGGATGATGGCACGATTTGCGAATACCCAAGGGCCAGGCAAGGCATACGATTGGTTGGTTTTTTAAAATTTGCTTACCATAAATACTTCAATAGTAACCCACCCTATAGGAGCGTTGTCTAGTTACTTTCGAATAAGTTTACTTTAAAACAAAAACTCATAGCTTTACGTCACCAGTACGTTTGTTTCTACCGCTCATAGCTCGACACCAGTACGTTTTTTTCAGCGCGTTTTGGTATCAAATTAAAGTAGAGAAGATGGATGATTTTTTTTGAGATATAACACAGATCTTTAACATTAACCAGTGCTTAGAAAAAATGATTGAAAATGATGAAAAATCGGCTTTTTTTGCCACTTTTCAATCATCTTTTTTCTAATAGCTGGTTGGTGCTAAAGATCTGTTTTATATCTCAAAAAAAATCCCCTATCTTTCTACTTTAATTTGATACCTAAACACTTAGAAACAAATGTACTGATGTCGAGAAATGAGCGTTTGTTTGAGAGTAAACTTACTAGGGAAAGGCACCAGGTCAAGGTGGCCTTTTAATACGAGGGCTTTATAGAATTGGCTATACTGATTCTGAATATGCTTTTACTTTTTCCAAAGGAGCTTTGTAGCGCGAAATATCTAGCATCTAGCATCAAAGTTTGGGCCGATTTTCGGAGTCCTTATAAGCTTTTTCTCTCTTTCTTCAATAGAGAGCTAGTGGCGCAGTGGATAGTGTGCTCGCCTCCAGAATTTTTTGCCCGGGTTCGAGTGCGCACCCGGTATATTCTTTTTGCTTTTATTCAATAAAAAGTGAAAAAGCTTTAGAAGACTCCGAAAATAGGGTTAAATTTTGATACCAGATATCTCGCGTTACAGCTCCTTTAGAAAAAGTAAAAGCATATTCAGAATCAGCATGGCCAATTCTATAAAGCCCCGTGGCTCTCGTATTAAAACGCGATCTTGACCTGGTGCCTTTCCCTAAGTTAGACTCCGCGACACCCCTATAGGGGGGGTTTTTCTTTCTTTTTTTTCGGGGTGTTTTTTTTCTTAAAAATTTACTTATGCTGTTTGGTCAAGAAACTCAAGAGCATTAGCATGTTTTCTAGCCTTTAATTTTGCATGAGAATTTTATGCTTTTTGTTTAGTTCAACTCGAGATGTTATGTTGATCGAATCGATGAAGAACCAATAGAACCAATGGAGTGAAAAATTTAACATTTTATTTACCGTAATACCTGTAGTAGTAGCGCTCCTATAATGATGTGCAGTCGCGTAGTCGCTAAAATAAATAATTTTTTTTGAACGCGCCCTGATTTTTCTAAAATAAACTGTTAGTACCGAAAAATTCGCTCAAAAAAAAACATTGCTTCAAGCGCTATCTTTTGGTAACTAAGCGCACATTTTTTTGTCGAAACAACGCGGAGAACCGAAGAGAAAATAGTGTGTTAGACGACGCGACTGTACGGGCGGCGTTACTATTACAAGTATTACAGTAATAAATATTTTCTTGCTTTCTCAATCATTTTCTGTCAATGTTTGATAAACTATTAATTATTTTTGGAAAGTAACAATGCTAACAATGCTTGAACAAAGATGTTGAGAGGATAATTTTACTTTTGAATTCTGGATTTTAAGTTAGGTGATGAAGAGTTTTAAAGATATTTAGTTTATTTCGGATATTTGAAGCTTTCTCCTTTTTCTGATAACAAATGAACACGCTGACACTCGCCATTCGGGAATCACATTCAGTGGATGAAGGTAAGTGGGGAATTCTATTTAAGTTTTCTGTAAAAAGCTAATTAACTGGATCATTCTCTCATTTTAGTTCTACTCAGCGAATTGGAAAATTTCTGGAGAACGACCTTTCATTTGTTGATGTACAAGTATGGGCACTATGATCAGGGAACTTTTGAGGATTCTCGATATTGTCAACTGCCAGTTAAGGTAAGAATTCTCCTGAAATATATGCTTTTTTAAAAATTTTATATCTAAAGCTATCGTAATCGTAATGTTGTTTTTGGTACAAATCGTATCGTAATATCGCTACCTTCCAACAAAGTTAGCCAGAGTACAGTAGCTTTTTAAAAACCATAGCTCTATTCGTTGATCCATTTATATTTCAGCGATCCACCGACGAATCCCTCAACGACTATTGTGAGAGCTATTTGACCGAAGCACGAAAACTTCTACAAAAGACTAGGTTTGTAGATTTTGTACCAAAAACAACATTGGCACATTGAAATCAAATGACTTGGGTAATTAAACCGCTCAAAACAGTTCAATAAATAACAACAACAAAAAAGTTTTCGATAACCTTTAAACAAAATCTTTAAATTTAGACTCTCCGCCTACATCGTTCGCTTTTCGGATAAATACGAGACCCCGATTTTGGAATTCCGATTCGGCATTGTGGATTTGATCAAGCCGACATCGTTGACAAGGTTTTCATATTTAGATTTGAGTTTAAATTTAAATTTAAATTCAGATCAACTTCCACCGGCTACCGCGACTATTTGAGGGTTCATTTCGAGCAAGTGATCGCTAAACTCACCTCACTAGCGATACACCCAACACTGGATCGACGCCTGAAAACGGAAGGTGATCACGAATTTGTATACTAACTGGATAATGGAATTGAAACATTGTAACTTATCTTTTTTAAATCTAATCAATCAAATTTCAGATCACCGAGCCGAGATTCTCCTCAAACTCAAGGTTCCCCTTGAAAATGATAAAACGGTTTGTGTTTGGGATTTTTGGGACATAAAAAGATCATTTTTAACATTAATAACTAATTTCAACTTTAGGTCAATCAGCTAGAAGCTCTAACGGACAAGAATTATCTCATCCGACCAATCGAAATCGAGTGTTCTCAGCCCGAGAAATCGCATAAATACCAGGTGAGAAAGGAAAAAGTTCTAAAAGAAAAAGAGAAAGAGCCAAAGTTAGTCTAAATCTAAAGCACAATGAGAAAACTAGTAGTACTAGTAGATCTTTATCTAAAGTTAGTCACAATTTTTATAGCAAACTAGTAGTAAGCATTTTATATTGTAGTTTTTTATATATTTATACAATTGTAAGCAATTGTAGCACTCAACTGATATTTTAAATTGTAGCATGTTAAGGTAAATCAATTGAAATTTAAGATAAATCAATTGAAAAGCAAATTTTAGAAAATGAATTGATCAATTTATTTAGTTAACCTTCTCTCTTCACTGCACAAGTATCTTCTGATGATCAAAAGAAAGTCTTCCTCTACTTAAATTCTTCTTGTTCTGTTTTGTGTAGTAAACTGTAAACTTTACGTCCAAACCGTTTATTTCAGATGAGAATGTGATTTTTCCGAAAAAAAAAAACGTTGGCGTTTTATAAACAAATTTTCTACAACGCACAGTAAAAAAGGCAATCGTCACTGCGAAAAGCAACGATAACCAAAAAATCCGTGAGTTGTTTTTTTTTTTTTTATTTCTCACTTTGATCTTGATCTTTTTTGAAATCTCTTTGATACACAAATTGTTTTTAGCTTTTTTGATTGAGTAATTTGATAGTATATTGAAAGCTAAGAACAATTTTGTATCATAAATTTGAATAGGTCTTTCATTGGGAAGGGGATTAACTACAGCGGGGGATACAGATTCGGATTCAGATCAGATTCGGATAATTAGATTAGATTAGATTAGAGTAGACTTGCTTACTGTCGTTTGCAAAAAGTGAAAAAAGGATTATAGCTACAGTAATTCAGTCAAATAAGCAAGTCTAGTACTTGTAGATTTAGGAGAAGGGGCTTATTAGAGTTATTGTAATCCCTGTACAGGACTGTGTACTATAGAAGTACTAGAATGGTTCCCGAATGGGGACCAAATCGGAACCAAATGGCAATCAAATGGAAACTGAATGGAAACTGAATGGAAACCGAATGGGAACCAAATTTCATTTACCTTTAGCTAACTATAGAACTGTCACGTAGCTTTAGCTTCAATTTTATGTGCTACAGGGTTTAGTACAAGTCTTACAGTTGAGTAATTTGTAGTAAAAGAAAAGTAAACGTCCCTACTGTAATCCTTGTACTGTTTTAGGTTTTAGGTTCTATTTAAAGCGCTACGAAGCCTGGTACAGGGTTTACTGTAGATAAAAGAGGTACGGGGACAGGCTTTTACGATAACAATTCTAAGGAACAGGCCTTTTCGGTAACAAATTCAACAGACCCGACAAATAATACAACGGGGAAGTCGAGCAATGTGAAAGGGAAACTCCTCTCTGGCAAAACAACAACCGTATGTACAGGGAAAATCGAATAAACGGGCTCATTGACTTAGAGAAACATTGTGAAAAAGGAGATACATTCGATAGAGATTAGTGGGCAGAAGTTGAAGGAATTCAGTGCGAATTATTGTGTTCAATTTTCACTTTCAAATCCCGCCCACCAGCACAGAACTCATCCGGTTTACAGCTGTTACAACCGAATGCATTACCCTTTTAAAAAAAAGGCGGTAGATCGAATTCCTTTGGGGGCGACCAAAACACCAAAAAAAGTCTCATCAGTACTGTACAGTACGATCAGTACGATCAGTACTGACTGGGGAACACCGAGGGATTCTCTCAAAAACGCGGCGTCAACTCAGCCACAATACACCCGGGGTGGACCCTAAAAGAACGGATCCTAGACCGACGGGGTGGTGGGCAAAGGTGAACGACTGAAGAAGAACAAGAATCACCCTGGGCAAAGGATGGAATGGATAAGGAAGTGAACTTTTGAATGATTTGGGAAGGAGGTTTGGCTTAGGTCTTTCTGTATTTCTTCTTGCTTCTTCTCGCTTGGGAGACAGTGTATATAGCTCAATCGGTAGAGGATCTGCTTGGTAATCATGGGACATAGCTCAATCGGTGGAGGATCTGCTTGGTAATCTGCTAAGGGGAAAGTCGAGGGTTCGATTCCTCTCGGAGCTTTTCTTGGCTAGCTTGGCTTGGCGGCTTGTAGCTTGGCTTTCGTTTTGCAAAAATAGCTTGGCTTTCCTTTTGATATCAACGGTTGTTAGCCTTTCTTTCAACAGTTGTCAGCCTTTCTTTCAGCTGTTGTCAGCCAAATGGCAACCAAAGTTCACTTCCCGAATCCCCCATCACCCATCAAAGCAAAGAAAACAGTATCAGTGCCAAGTAAAAAAAAATGATATTCACAAAGACACGGAACACAAATTTTTTTTAAAACGCGTCAAAACCCGAAACAATGAGAAAACTCACGAGAGAAAACACAAATTGAGGAAGATTTTTTTGTGTGTGGAAACCAATGAGGATTTTTATGTACATTTGCAATCATATGTACGGCAATCCCGAATTGGAAGTGGAGCCATGGATTTCACTTGGGGGAAAAATGGAATCGAGTACAGTCTTTTCACACAGCCATAGCTTAGGTTGCGCGCTGTTCAGCGTCCTTATCTCCGAGAGTTCTCAAGATTTCAAGATATTCAGCTAAAAGCCTCTAAGCTATGTACCTTTTCTTTTTGAATATTTCAAAATATTCAGCTAAAAGACTGCATCCGATCAATCCAATGTGAAATCTTGACTAATCTAGATGGACAATCTAGATGGTGTTGGTCGAGGGGAATTTGAGGAATTCTGAAGAACGGCCTGGGAATTGTGGTTGATGGGACTGTAGGTTGTTTAGCTTGGTTGGCTTAGGATTGGTTTAGAATTGGTTTAGAATTGGTTTAGGATTGGCTTAGGGTTGGCTTAGAATTGGCTTCGAATTGGCTTAGAATTGGCTTAGAATTGGTTTAGAATTGGCTTAGGATTTAGCTCAAAACTTAGCTTAGAACCTAGCTTAAAACTTAGCTTAGAACCTAGCTTAAAACTTAGCTCAAAACTTAGCTTAGGATTTAGCTTAGAATTGGCTTAGGATTGGCTTAGGATTGGCTTAGGATTTAGCTTAAAACTTAGCTTAGAATTTGCTTAGGATTTAGCTTAAAACCTAGCTCAAAACTTAGCTCAAAACTTAGCTTAGAACCTAGCTTAGAACCTAGCTTAGAATCTAGCTTAGAACCTAGCTTAGAATCTAGCTTAGAACCTAGCTTAAACTTAGCTCAAAACCTAGCTCAAAACCTAGCTCAAAACTTAGCTTAAACTTAGCTTAGAATTTGCTTAGGATTCAGCTCAAAACTTAGCTTAGAACCCAGCTTAAAACTTAGCTTAAACTTAGCTTAGGATTTACCTTAGAATTGGTTTAGAACCTAGCTTAAACTTAGCTCAAAACTTAGCTCAAAACAGCTCAAAACCTAGCTTAAAACCTAGCTAAACAAATTCAGAATACCTTTCACAACTACAGTACCCATTTCCCATTGAAACGATCGATTTGGGGGGAATGGGGAGACCCGAGCACAGAAGAAAAAGTACAAAATAGAGCACAAAATGGGGAAAAGTTTCGGGAGAGGAAATGGGGAAAAGTTTCGCTGAATAGCATCAATTTTAAGCTTTTAACTGAGTTCCTTAAGGAAAAATCTATCAATTTCAAGAATTTTCGCATATTTCTTAAATGAATATGTTAAAAATGAGCTAAACTTTCCCAAAAACATTTCAAAGATCTACTCAATAATCTAGAATTGAAAAGAATTGAAAAGAATTGAAAAGAAAAAAAACGGAAAATCAGATTTACAAATGAAAAAATACTCAAATGAATGAATGAATGAATGAATTAATTAATTAAATTATTCAATTATTATTTAATTGAATATCTTTTAGTTTCAATTATTCAATTATTTAATTATTCAATTGAATATCTTTTAGTTTCAATTATTTAATTATTCAATTGAATATCTTTTAGTTTCAATTATTCAATTATTTAATTATTCAATTGAATATCTTCTAGTTTCAATTATTCAATTATTTAATTATTCAATTGAATATCTTTTAGATTCAATCATTAAATCATTCAATTATTCAATTGAATATCTTTTAGATTTTCTTTTAGATTAAATTTTCTTTTAAAATTCAATTGTAAATCGAATTTTCTTCATAAATAGACAAGAAAAAAGAGACGAATTGTGGATTGTGGATTAAACCGTTTTTAAGAAAAAAAATGAGAAAGAGCACCCATTTTTTTGTTGATGTTGATGTTGATCAATTGATCAATTGGCGATCGAGAGAGCCATCACTTCAGAGATCAACTTCAGTGGACACATTCGACGACCCGATGACGAGAGTTCGATCTAAATATCGAAATTGATCGACCATTAGAATAGGATTAGCTTTGTAAGCTTTGTGAATTGTAGCTCTGTAGCTTTGTAGCTCTGTAGCTGTAGCTTTGTAGCTTTGTAGCTCTGTAGCTTTGTAGCTTTGTAGCTTTGTAAATTTCGGAGAGAAATCACTTTAAAAGACTAAAAGATCTTGAAAAATCGATGAATTCCACAAAAAGCAATCAACTCTCAACCAAATCTATGCTTTGATCCCTTCCTTTCTTCAAATGCAAAGTCTACAATAAGCTATTTCTCATTTTCAAAACTTGTTGTTTTGCAAAATTTGAGGCTCTGAAAGGGATCGAACCCTCGACCTTCTTCTTGCTGAGCAGATTACTGAGCAGACGCTCTACCGATTGAGCTACAGGCCGCCATCCGTTTGGCGAGAAAAAGGATAGAAGAACAGGTGAAGACAAAGAGGTTGAGAGGAACCCTCGACCTTTTTCTTTTCGACCCTCCCACTGACCAGACGCTCTACCGATTGAGCTACAAGCGGTCATCTGCCCGGCGAGAAAAAAGGTACAAGAAGAGAGAGGGAAAGTCGCCTCCTAATTGTAAGTTCTTATCCAAAAGGATTGTATCAATCTAATCCTTTTCTAAAGCCTATCCTTTCTACGTTTATCCAATCTTCTTAAATATTGGGGTGATGCATAATTATCCGGACTTCTTTTTGCGTGCTTGTATCTTTTGTTTTGAAGCTTTGCTCCCCTTTTAAATATTCGTTATTCTTAGTGAACAAAATGCGTGTCGACAATCATATCCATCTTCGCCATATCATGCTCTACCACTTCGAAAAGGGATGGTCTGCCGCAGAGTCGTTTCGCGATCTCAAAGAACTGGAGAAGCCCCAACGGACTACCACGTCAATCGATCGCTCAAAAATTGGCAAACAAATAAGATCTACAACGATTTGGATGACTTGATAGACGATGTTAAAGCGTGGATTGCCTCCAAAGATCGTTTATTCTTCGCTCGTGGATCGATCGTCTTCAGCAAATGGCAATCAGTTATTGTGTAGGCGGGAATATGCTCCAGAATAATCAATAAACATATTTCTAACTATTATGTTATTTTTGTTAAATAAAATCATTTATAAAAGAAGTCCGGATAATTATGCCTCAACCCAATTGTTTGTTTTTTGTTTTTTTCGTTATTTAATCATTTATTTGTTTAATTTTGTTGTGTAAACCTTTCGAACTCACATTTTTCGCTTGTTCATCTTGACGACACGTCTTTGGAGTCAAAAAGACTTGTGCATTGGACGACAGACGGATTGGACGAGGCTCAGGAAAAGGCGAGGTTGAATCATTTGAATCATTCGCTGACGATGATCCACTTTCCGAGTCAGATGTCGAAGCAAGAGATGAGCCAGATTTTTGCGCGAACCATGCGATCGGTGGAAGAGGGATCGATCTGGAAATGGCTCTAATTTCTAGAAGGCTTTCTAGATGGCTCGATTGAAAGATAAGGCTTAATCTCAGTCTATCTTAATCTCAGTCAGTCCTCATCTTTCCCTTCTCAAAGCCTACCTAGCTGACGGGCTGTCGCTCCATTTGCTGCTGGCATAGCATCCGATCATTGGCGGCGAGGCAGAGTGCGCTTTTCTCCCGTTTGTCGCTTTCGCTGGCGTGGCGTTGAGTTGGTTTTGAGTGCGACGACGGACACGTCTAGAAAAGGAAGCTGTTGTCAGAGCTATCGAATTAGTCAAAGCTATCGAATGGAACCAAATCGGTTAAGTGAGCAGCGAGAAAAGCGCAAAAAAACGTAGTGGGAATGGGGTTCTCGGGGGAGACTCGGGGGCGGTACTTCTAAAGTCTATCTCCGAGTTGATGCCTATTTACGGCTTTCAAAGTTTTCCCAGAAGCTCAATAATCTAATCCTCCACTAGATCTGATCGTCAGCTACATTTTTCGACCCCACATCGATAGGTTCTGATAAGCGGTTTTTGAGATTTCAAGGAATTTAGATAGCTAAGAATGGACTAGGGAAAATTAGCTTTTTTTTTCTATTTGTTAGATTTTGGTGATTAGCTTTTGGTGATTAGATTTTGGTAATTAGATTTAGCTAGGTACTGTATCAAAATAATTACTTGATGCTCTTTGGCTCGCGGGATTTCGGCGTCTCGGCACGCGTTGTATTCGACGAGATCTTCGCCGGGGTGAGCTGAAATTTGGGGGTTATTAAAGAGCTATATCTTTTAGCTGAATACCTTTGTAAGAATATTGTAGACTAAAGCTGGTTTAGGTGGCTTTTGAGGGTCTAGATGGCTTTTGAAAGTCTAGATGTCTTTTGAAAGCTTAGGTGTCTTAGGCTTAGGCTTAGGCTTAGGCTTAGGCTTAGGCTTAGGCTTAGGCTTAGGCTTAGGCTGTATCTTTTAGCTGAATACCTATCTTTGTAAGTATATTGTAATGCAAATATTGAAAGTCTAGATGTCTTTTGAAAGCTTAGATGTCTTTTGAGAGTCTAGATGTCTTTTGTCTTAGAAAGCCTAGCTATTTCAATGCACAGTCACTTTCAGAGCTTTATAACTTTTCTTAGAAATAACATTAGCATTTAATAGAAATAGATCTTTACGGTTAACCTCGAGTCAAGCGATTATCGGCCGAGTTTTTTGCATTCCGCTTTTAGATAGATTTTTGTTAATAACTTTTCATGAAACAGATATTTTCTGAAAGTTAACGTTCTAAGCTATCTAAATCTGCTTAAAACTTGCTGATCTGAGAAGTTTAAGGTGCTTAAAAATGAGCTGAAAGTTGGCTAAAAACTCGACCGTTCGTTAACCCAAGAAATAGCATTTATTTTTTAGATTCTTTCAAGAGCAAACATTTTAGACTTTCTAATGAGATTAAAGGGACTTTAATTGGAAAGATAGGCCTTGAGAAAATCAGAAAAATTAGATCTTTAGTGGGGTTTTGCTTTGATTGGGTCAACTCTACCAATTCGGCCAGTTCTGCCGACTCTGCTTTGATTTTCTCTGGACTGATTCATCCAATTTATTTCTTTTAGGTCTCATTCGAAAGCCAGAAATGTTTTCTCTTGAAATCTATAAAAAGTAAATGCTAATGTTCTTTCTAAGAAAAGTTCTAAGCCTCTGAAAGTTGACTGTGCATTGAAAAGTCATCTAAACTTTCAAAAGCCATCTAGACTTTCAAAAGTCATCTAAATCATCTCACCAAGAGTCATCAAAAGTCACCAAAAGCCAATGATTAACTTTTTAAACCTTAAAACCAACCATCAGATCAATTTGGGCCGATTTCGAGGCACTGGCAGTTGTTGGCGTCATTGTTCTGTAAAAATGTTTAATTTAAGAGCTTTAAAAATCGAAAAAAAAAAGGTTAAAAAAGCTTAAAATAAAAGAATATAATAAATTTAGAGAGATTTAAGCAAGAGTTTACTAGAAATAAAAGAAGAAATTGAAAAGAAATAATGAATGAAATAAAAAATTCAAATTTTCCAGAGACGATCTTTCACTCTTTCACATCTGTCTCAATTATAGTCCTATTTTCAAATTTCCATTAATTGCTTTCTAATGAACCTACTTTGAATGCATTTTGTCGACAGATGCTTTTGGAAATTGCTGGGTTTTGAAATTGCTGGCTTTTGAAGAATCCCTCGCAATCACCTGAAAATCAACGGTAAATGACTCATCATAAATCCTTTGTGAGCAAGGTATAAGCAAATTTCCGGGCGGCCACCACCTGCCCCGTTGGTTCATTGGTAAAGCTCTCGCTCAGTAAGCGAGTGGTCGACTAATGGCCTCGGGTTCGAGTCCGGGATCGGCCGAAAGTTTTTTATTTCCGAAAGTCCGATCTCAGACTGGCTGAGATCTAGCTGGCTTAGGCTTAGGCTGCCACTCGAATCGGATTCACGATTGAACGACAGACGACAGAACTATAGGTCGACTCGATCCTAAGCCAGCCAGAGCGACCAGAGCCAGCCAGAGCGACTCGTCTAATAGAGCCAAGAAGCAAACACGAAACACTCGGCTTCCTATTGCTTTGTATCAAAGCTACACTAGAACAGTTCATTGGTAAAGCTCTCGCGCAGTAAGCGAGTGGTCGACTAGTGGTCTCGGGTTCGAGTCCGGCGTTGGCCGAAACTTTTTTATCTTCGGTCGGATCTCAGCCAGTCTCAGCCAGTCAAATTGCCAGTCTCAGCCAGTCAGATTGCCGGCTGGCTGACGCTCGAATTCTCGACTGACGATTGTTCAAATGGAACGCTAGGTGATGGATGGAACTCTAGATCAACTCGAGCCTATCTCTCGACTCGCCTAAGCCTGAGCCAACGAGGAAACTCGAAACCCTCGACTTCCTATTGCTTTGTACCAAAGGTACACTAGGAACGCAGCTTTGTTCCCTTTTTGCATTTTCCTTTTTTACTGACCTTCGTCAAATTCCTCTTCAGATGTTAAACAAGCACTTCTCTTTGATCTTAACTTTCACTTTCGTTCAATCGCTTGAGTGGAAAGATGTGACCATGAAATTCTGAAAGAAGGATAATGATTAAAAATGATTGAAAATGATTAAAAATGATTAAAAATGATTAAAAACAAAAGCCTAAATGTTTTGATAACTCAAACCTTGTCTCGATTATGGTGCTTTCGCAAAAAGAAATTGCTCGATGTTACAAATGAGATCACTGAAAAAAAAAAAAATGAAAAATGGGGAAATGATGATTAAAAATGCGAAAAAGGAAATCGAAAATCGATATTTTAAAAGAAAAGTCGGGGAAAATTCCCGAAAGAACCATTTAAAGCTGTTTAAAGCTGTTTAAAGCCGTTTAAAGCCGTTTAAAGCACTGATTTCAACCAACAAAAACAATCGAATTCTTGACGATTTTTCCCGTTTTAGTTTCCAATAAAAGAAAAATTTCGAGAAAAGTTGTGCCGAAAGAACTCTTCCAGAAAGCCTTCCAGAAAGAACTCTTTCAACGACAGCAACAACAACAATAGAACCATTTCGATCACCTCTAGAGAAAACCGAAAAACGCGATCAACATTGTGATTTGAAATGAAAAGTTGATGATCAGCACAATGTCACGAGGTTCATTGGTGAGCACATTCGCGAAGGGACGAGTGAAAAAGGAAGAAAGAGAGGAAGCCAAACCGTCACGCGACCGCTTCGCACACCCGCATCGATCAATTCCGAGAGATCGAGCAAAAACGAGCGGCGCCAGCCGAACAAACAAAAAAACCCGCTTTCACAATCGCAACAGCCTTCGAAAGCGGCGAAATTTTGCGAATACCGTAGGAAAAAGGGGTGTTTGAAAGGAGAGGAAAAGACCGTGCAAAACAAAATATTTTTCTTTTGAGGGACCGCGAATGAAATTGCCAAAAGCTAGCCAGTTAAGACTTTTTGGTTGCACAACCTGGAAAAAATTTGAGAAATATCCGCACACATTTCATCACACAATTTTCTTTTTCGTCATCCATAAGTTGTCTTTAGTGTAAAGAATTTTATTTAAGAACCATTAAAAATTCCCGCAAATTGAACAGAAAAATTTCATTTCAAAGTACAATAATGACTTGAAACAAAAACGAGACCTTTGGAAAGAGCAGATGATCCGTAAAAAGATTTGTTGCACTAATGGGGGTGGTACAACACGATCAAATTGAGAGGATCAGATCATAGGTAGACACGAAGAAGGGATTCAACAAGGGGAGAAATGGGTGTGGCACAAAAAGTTGCCAAATAATAAGCACATTAGTGAGTGACAAAATGAAAAACATAAAACAACAATAAATCAAGACTCCTCTCAAAAAGAGCTCATATTTATATCGGCTGAAAAGTCGGGGGCTCCATTGTCTCGCTTCGAAGCAGGGCCACCATTCCAGTCACCAGGTCGTTTTCCTCGGCCTCTTCCACCGCCGCCTCGTCCTCCACCGCCTCCGCCATGGCCTCGTCCGCCGCCACCCATCGGTCCACCGCGTCCTCTTTGCCCGCCACGTCCACCCCTACGAGGGCCTCCAAAGTCCTAAAACAAAAATTTATTTCAGATCCGCTGTCGTGTCTAACTTTCCAAATCCAAATTAAATACTTACTCCTCCATAGCCGCCATAACCCGGTCCTCCTCCATAACCACCATCAAAACCTCCGCCATAGCCGCCTCCATATCCACCGCCAAAGTCTCCATATCCACCACCGTAGCCCATACCGCCACCTCCGCCATAGCCTAAAAATAGTCGTCAACACTTAAAATTGTTGTCAATCGGAATACACTTCTGAAACTATAAAATTACTCACCCATATCATATCCTCCACCATACATGTCGAATCCACGGTTGGGGAACATGTTATTTGCCCCACCACCCCCGCGACCAAAGTTTCCACTAAAGAGAGTCATTACTTTTGACAAGAAAACAAGGCCAAACCTTCGTCCGCGGTTGCCTCCTCCTCCTCCTCCTCCGCCACCACCACCACCACCGCCGCCACGCGTTTTCTTCTTTTCATTCATGGGTTTGGCTAATGAGACCTAAATTTAATCCAATAAATCTACCAGAAAACAACAATGGTACCTCAATCGCAACACCCTCCAACTCTTTGCCATTCTGTTCCTCGATTGCTTTGACGGCTGGATCGCGTTCCTTGTAGTGAATGAAAGCATAGTCCTTCATCTTTTTGATCCTTTCGATTTCGCCATATGGTCCGAAGATTTCTCTCAACTTTTCTTCAGTGACAGCCTAAAGCATTGATGTTATTTTTTGAGCCATTGCAAAGCTTAAAATTGAAAATTGCTACAAGCAAAAGTTTACTTCTTTCAAGTTTCTGACGTAGACCACTTTTACTTTGCCCATCGCCTCCTCGTCGGGTTCCTCTTGTTGTTCAGCCCAGTCAACAACCAATTCACCAATGTTGAACGGTTTGGTCTAAATGACAAATTAAGAGTGTACCCAAATAAATGTTTACAGCTTTGTTCTTTCCTTGAGTGAACTTTCGTTTGGCATCAGAAGCCGATTTGTGGTCAACGAAGTCAACAAAGCAGAATCCACGGTTCTTCACTTTTTCGGGAGCATCCGGGTTTGTGTAGATTATGACATCTTCAACGCCATCTAAAACAGAACAATGAATACGTGCATTGTGACAAGTTTTACACCGATTCGAGACCCGAACCGGTCAAATTTTTACCTGCATGACTTTTAAGTTCATCAAGAATTTCCTCTCTGGATTTTGACTTGGGTATGTTGCCAATGAATAAACGCATGTTGGCCACGGAAACGTTGCATTTCAAGTTTTTTCCCGATGCAATTTCGAAGCCATCAAACTAAAAGCACACACGTTCGCATTTTGTTTTTATTTCAAAAACACTCCGCAGGATTTTGAGGAAAAGATCGAACGGTGTATTTGACAAGACTACGCGCAGCATGAAAAACAGTAGCAAAAGAGTAACGCCAAGTGCACAATGAGGTCTTTTTCAAAAGGAAATATGAATAACAATGTGTCCCAGGCAGGTCAAAATGTATGAAATCAAACTAGAAGTTATAAACTCCCATTTTTCTCACATGAAAACAGTAACTGGGAGCTTATAACAAATGATTCACACAATGTATACCTTCTTTGCGGCGTTCTTGGCAAACTCCTTCTCGCAGTAGGTCAAGAAGGCATAACCACGGTTTTTGCCTGACAATGGATCCATCATGAGTCGGAGATCCCAAATTTTGCCGACTTCCTCGAAAATTGGAATCAAAACATCTTCGTAGACATCGTGCGGAATGTGACCAATGTATACCTATAGAAAATCGTTTAACAAACGGCATCAAACAAATTACCTCAAAGCCGCTTCCAGTTGGACCAGTAGCCGGGCCTTCCCATTCAGGTGGTGGTCCTCCATATTTGCGCTGACCAACAGTAACTTCCAAACTGTATCCAGTTCGGTCGAGAATTTCTTTCATCTTCTCCGGATCCGGGCCAGCAACAATTGGTGAGCTCATCACGGTAGACGCTCCGTAGTTCCGTACACGATCACGAAAGTTCCTCATCACCGACATCAAGTATTGTGATCGATTCTGCACACCGAAGAGCTTTGATTTCTAAAAACTTTACACAATGTTTAAGCTAAGCCATCCTTACTCGTAATTCATCAACTATGTAGCATGCTTGATCGTTGGCAAATGAGCGAAGAACTTCGATGGCTTTCTCGTCTACATCGCTTGCTTCCATGCTGGTTTCTTCGTAGAGTTTCATCAATGCAGTGGCGACCGGTGCATTCACTTGTTGCTCCCTCAGTGATTTGTATGTTTCATTCTCGACGTATTGTGGATCCTCACCAGCCGTTGATGTGACATTCTAAAAAGAAAAAGTGATTAAACAATAGCTGTAATTGATACTTGGATGTTCAAATCTACCAGCAATTTCCTTAAAGCCTAAAACTTTCCACTACTTATCACTAATAAATTAGATCAAAATACACAAAGACCACTCACCGCATTTGTGTCAGCATTAGCATTAGCAACTGATTCGGATGGTTGCTCTTCTTTCGGTTGCTCTTCATTCGGCTGGTCATCTTTCTTGGCGTCGACCAATGGTGTATCCATTTCAACGTCTGCCATATTGTGGTCCTCCAAATTTGTTCTAAAAAGAAGATTGAATAAGTTAAAGAATGAGAAAGAAATAGAGATACTATGGGCTTTGGGGGCGGGCCACTTTTTTTTCACCATTTTTCCTTGATGACGCTGATCAAGAAAACTGATTATTTTTAAAGCAAATTATTAACGGAAAATTGTCCCTTTTTATCATATCATATCATCATTTCCACAATTACCAGATTTCCAGACATTTGATAACCGACATTAGTGCAAAGTGTTTGGTTAATAAAGGTAAATAAGTGTTTGGTTATCAAATGTCCAATAAGCAAAAAAAAGTGCCCCTCTCAAGCCCATAATACCGAAATAGAAAAAAGAAGTAAAATTGGAAAAGAATAAGGGCTGACGGAGCTATGAAAACATCTGGATGACAATTAAGGAGGTAATTTCAGCCATGAGCAATCATTAACAGCTAAGTTTCATGTCTAAGCACCTAGTAAATGATAACAAAAGATGCTTAGGTAAGATTACGCAAGTAACTTGTCGAAAAGAACACTCACTGCCAATTTCTAGACAACTAAAGCTCGTTATTGCGCAAAAATGCTAGGAAAACAATAGCTCTAGAGGCAAATGAGAGGTGAAATGAAAAAATTATCCAAAAATGATATCATATCGTGCAAAAGAATCGATAAATGAAGAAATTGTTGCTATTTATCAACAATTTGGCAAGGAAAAATATGTTAGCGCGTTAAAAGCGGGCACGAACCCAAATCGAAGAATCGACAAGCGCGGGAACTCCCGCAGCGGCTTGCGTGCAAAACGAAAATGGCGGTCTTTCAAAAAGATGGAGCTTTGCCAAAAATTACTACATCAATAATAAGCTGGATATCTTTTCGTCATGGCATTTAGAGATATTTAACCAGCTTATTTTTGCCTCACTCATTTAGACTTGCTTATCGATATGATCGGCAAGCTCATGTTTGACCGTTCAAATCTCGCTTTCTAAAACAGCTATCAATCTGCAAATTGTTTCATTGAAAAGCCTAGAATGTCAGCTTTTGATTGCTATCTCACACATGGCAAATTCTCATAGGTGAGTGCCTTAAAAAGCTTATCAATACTTGTCGATACTCGAATATCGATAAGGTTTATGAGGTGCTTACTCTGCTACTCTGCTACTGCTTAGCTAAAAGTCGCTACGTAGAAAATAGCAATCAAAAGCTGATATTCTTGACTTTCCAATGAAACTTTTCAGATTGGTAGCTGTTCTAAAAACAGATCTGAACAGTCAAACATGAGCATGCCGTTTCTATCGATAATATCGATAAGCAAGTCTATATTCATTGATTGCTGGAGTTTCGAGTTGAGGAAGTCGTCGTTTAGTCATGAATTGAGCTTGTTTAGTGAATTCTTTTCTCTTTCTTTATTCTGTACCTTTTTTGCTTCTTGTAACGTGTATTCTTTCAGCCGAATCGATGTCCAATTCAAAAGAGGACGAGTTATTGATCACTGACGATTTGCACACACTTCGACAAGGGGAGATTTACACAGACCCGGAGACTGGCAAGAAATACAAAGTGCACAAGACGATTCTACCCGGTCGAGCATCACAAGGCCCACATGGAATTGGGGATCCGAATGATCGAAGTTTGAGAAAAATTGAAGCCGATGTGATCATACCGCGGAGGATGAATGAACAAGTTGAACGAGTGGAATGCCACCCATTATATCTACAACTGGTAAATTGTTTGAGACAAAAGGGATCCGCCGTTGGTTTGAGAGGTTGTCAGGATGCACTTGAAGAGTTCAATGTGTGCAAATTGGAGAAATTTCAAGATCCTGCTTATCGAGCACAAGTCACAAATGACTATTTGTCGGAGCGATCCGAAGTAAGGCGTACAGGAATGACCGAAAAACAGCGGAAACTGGAAGAATACCGAGCTTGGAAAAGGAAACAAGATGGGGAAACATCTTGATTGTTGTTTTGCTTTTTGTGTTTTTTGTAATTAGAATAGAATAAAGCATATAGTGGTTGATTTAGAGATGACTCTTACCAGAGATCCTGCCTTCCACGATTTGGTGGCGCATGTACAAGCGAACGAGGAGGGAAAGTTGCGAATCCTGGATGAATTTGCCAAGGATCCTCAACGCTTCGAGTATTTCAGGTGGCTTTGTTTTTGTTTTATTATAGTTTTCTTGTGTTAGTCGCATTCTCGGCTCACCAGATGGACAAATTCTCTTCGATTTCTCAAAGCATCTCATTTCGAGGGAGACATTCGAACGTCTGATTAAATTGGTAAGTTTTTTGTAGGTTAGCACTGAAATTAGCGTTGTAAATTAGGGATGTTTGTAAATAAATGTAAATCATGAATTGACTACGGTTTCTTGGCTTAGGTAAACACATTTTTTTGCAGGCTGAATCTCGTGGAGTGGAAAAGATGCGCGATGCGATGTTTCGTGGAGAAAAGATCAATTTCACCGAGGATCGTGCCGTGCTTCACATCGCTTTGAGAAATCGCAGCAACACACCAATTCTGGTGGATGGAAAAGATGCCAGTTCTCTTACACTGATTTGTTTTTTGTGTTTCTCTAACACTCTAAATATGATACTTTAAGGTTACACCTGATGTGAATCGCGTGCTCGCGCACATGAAAGAGTTTTGTAATCAAGTCATCTCTGGCCAATGGGTCGGTTATACGGGTGCCAAAATCACCGATGTTGTCAATATCGGAATCGGTGGATCGGATCTGGTATGTTCATCAGCATTGTTTCGATTTAAAGCTCTTTGATGGTACTTTCATTGATTTAGGGTCCTTTGATGGTAACTGAGGCGCTTCGTCATTACCAAATCGGTCCGAATGTTCATTTTGTGAGCAATATTGATGGAACGCATGTGGCTGAGGTTTCTTTAATAATCAAGTAGGAAATATATCTTTTTTTAGGTTCTTCGTCACTTGAATCCCGAAACAACATTGTTTATCATTGCTTCAAAGACCTTCACTACACAAGAAACGATTACCAATGCCGAGACAGCTAAACATTGGTTCCTTGAGAAGGTAGCTTTCCTGATTTCAGCAGTCAGCAAGTCATTTTTAGGCCAAAGATCAATCTGCAGTTGCAAAGCACTTTGTTGCTCTCTCAACGAACATTCCAAAAGCTGTCGACTTTGGGATCGATCAAAATAACATGTTCGAGTTTTGGGACGTAAGTAGTTAAAGCTTGAAAATGAATAAGTTTAATGTTTCAGTGGGTTGGAGGTCGTTATTCGCTTTGGTCAGCTATTGGACTTTCAATTGCTGTTCACATTGGTTTTGACAACTTCGAGAAACTTTTGGAAGGAGCTCATCACGCGGATTTGCATTTCCAAGTGACCCCACTCTCCGAAAATGTTAGTTGTAGTCTCACTATTTAGTATTTTGAAGTTTTAGATTCCGGTAATCATGGCTCTGCTTGGTGTTCTCTATCACAACGTCTACAAAGCGGAAACTCACGCTCTGCTCCCATATGATCAGTGAGTTTGCTATAAATATAAGCCAATTGGATTTCTATGATACAGATTAGCATTTTAAATATTTAGATACCTTCATCGATTTGCCGCCTACTTCCAACAGGGTGATATGGAATCAAACGGGAAATTTGTCACCAGGTAAAATTTGTTATTAGATTATTTAATAAAATGTTTCGCTCTAGATCTGGTGAAAAAGTTGATCATGCAACTGGACCGATTGTTTGGGGAGAGCCGGGAACAAATGGACAACACGCTTTCTATCAACTTATTCACCAAGTAAGTCTTGAAAAAAGTTGGACCAATCTATTTATATCGTTTAGGGAACTCGTCTGATTCCGTGTGACTTTATTGCACCCGTTCAAACTTTGAATCCAATTCGCAATGGTCTTCACCATACGGTAAAAGTGTAAAGATTACAAATTTATTTAAAATTTAGATCCTTCTTTCGAACTTTTTGGCCCAAACCGAGGCGTTGATGAAGGGAAAAACTTCAGAAGAAGCCGAGAAAGAACTCCGTTTGACAAACATGAGTGATGAGAGTATCAAGAAGATTCTACCACACAAAGTGAGTTATTTTTGCAAATCTTGTAAAATTTTGCAAATGGTTTCAGGTTTTTGAAGGTAATCGCCCAACGACTTCGATTCTTTTGCCTGTTGTCTCGCCGTTTACTTTGGGATGTCTGATTGCACTCTATGAGCATAAGATTCACGTTCAAGGTGACTTTGCATTTTGAACTGACAAAACGATAGAAAAGACACTTTCGCATGTTTAATTGTCTTGCTTATTGTACTCTATGTGTGTAAAAAGGACTCCAATGTGTTATTATTCCTTAGCTAATCAATAAATTTTCAGGAGTTATCTGGGACATCAACAGCTACGATCAATGGGGGTCTGTTTGTAATTTTTTTGAAATCGTAACTAGTTTTTTAGTGTCGAACTCGGAAAACAATTGGCCAAGGTGATCGAGCCCGAGTTGGGAAGTTCGAGCCAAATTTCTACTCACGATGCTTCGACCAATGGACTGATCAACTTCATCAAAGCAAATCGCAAATAAGCACAATCCGGGATTAGGTTAGGGCCACTGCCAATAGATAAACAGGTCAAATGCTTTCGCTTGTATTAGTCACTTCTAGTCTGCATTTTCACATTTTGTCGTTTTCCGTGTATTCTAGTGCTTCGTACACTTGCTGTGATTGGGAATAAATCTGTATTATTTTTTGCAAAATACGCATTCAGATGTTATTTGCTATACATCTGTCTATTTAAAGTTTTGTAATAATCTACTGATGAGCATTCTTCCTAGTAGTTTCACGTAAATCATTGCAAACGTTCAGGTACAACGAGCAAATGGCCGGATATGCTCTGAAAAGGTTGATGACAGAATATCGAGGTAAAAATTATTGGATTAATAGTAATTAAATTAATCAAATGTCAAATTTAGAGCTGACATTGCACCCTCCAGATGGAATATTAGCAGCGCCAGTTGACGAGGAAAACTTCTTTGAATGGGAGTGTTTGATCACCGGACCAGAGGACACGTGTTTTGCCAATGGAGTAAGAGTTATTGGTTTTGAAATTTATACACGTCGGACTCTAGTGCACAAATCTTTTAGATCCTCAAAATTCTACAGGGTGTTCCAAAAAAAAGTCAGTTCAGCTCGATTTTCTCAGAGTTTCTAGTGGCTCCTGGGGGTTGTTGTGATGCCAAAATGAATATTTTAGGCGGGCAAATTTTTGATTTTTTTTCACTTTTTCCAGTTTCATGACTCCCAAATACATGAAATTTCAGAGCCACCATGGTCACCATCACCATGGGACTTTTGCCATAAAATTAAAACTTTTTACTGGCATTGTGGTTCATAATGAGCATTATTGGGATAATTACAAATTTTAACCATACACTTTATTGATCAGCGTTTCTTTGGAAAAACCGGGCACTTCTTTAAAAAGGCGAATTGAAAATCTCCTATGTACGACAGATCATCATATAATGTAGATGAATAAAGTGTTTGGCTAAAAATCTTAGTTTATATATTAACTCGAATATGACACCACGATGCTAGTACAAAGTTTTAATAGTATGACAAGAATCTCATGGTGGTGGCTCAGAAATTTCGTGTATTGGATCACGAAATCAGGAAAAAGTGAAGAAATAGAAAAAAATTTGCCCGCCCAAAATATTCCCTTTGGCACCACAACAACCCCCAGGAGCCACTAGAAATTCTGAGAAAATCGAGCTGAACTGACTATTTTTTGAACACGCTCTATATCTGAACTTATTTAGGTATTCCCAGCCCGGATTTCTTTCCCACAAGATTACCCACTGAGTCCACCGAAGATGAGGTAAATATTGGTTTTTATTGCTCGGGCTCAATCTCTATTGCCTTCTATTGCTGTAAATTCTGTGTTTTAGGTTCACCTGTGATCTCTTCCATCCAAACATTTATCGTGACGGTCGTGTTTGCATCTCGATTCTTCATGCACCCGGGGACGATCCGACTGGGTTGACGGTTTTAAATTAATATTTTTATTTGTTGTTTTTAGATACGAAACAAGTAGTGAGCGTTGGTCACCTGTTCAAAGTGTTGAGAAAATTCTTCTCTCCGTAGTTAGCATGTTGGCAGGTTAGCAAACTTTTTATTGCACCGCTGCAAATTTTTATAGAACCAAATGATGAATCGGCGGCCAACGTCAACGCGGGTTGGTTTGGTCTATGAGGAAATGGAGAAATCATTACATATGGTTTTTTCTGCTTTTTTATAACATAAATTTCAGCAAAAATGTGGCGCGAGGATCGGGTCAAGTTTAACCAAATTGCCGACAATCTTGTGAGGAAAACGCTGTGTCTACCATTAGCCGACTCGTGATTGTGTCTATATTTTTAGTTAGACGTGAGTTAGTCAACTTCTCACACATTGAATGACTTATTTGTGTTGTACCGCATTGTGATAATCCATTGCAAACTTATTTGTGTAGATAAAACTCTAGATTTCTCCAAGGTACAAAAGCGACCACTAGAGTAATCTTCGTTAGAGTGTGCCATCCTCACAATCGTCCAAAAAATTTTAATGTCTTCTAGTTAAAATCTCTAGAAATATAATCTCCTTATTGGCAACTAACTAGGGAAGGGCAAGCGCTGGCTTTTGGAACGAGATCAAACCCATCTTATAGAATCGCCCAAGCTGAGTTCAAAGCTTTTAGTTTTTGCCCTCGAGGCCTAACGCAAGGTAGCTTAGTTTGGTTGCATTTTTGATGTCTATTTGACGCCTCCACGCCTGCTACAAAAAAGTTGCCTTTAATTATTAAAAAGATTTTATTCACAGAAAAATAGAGATCACAGATGCAATCAAAACTCGTAAGTCAGATATATTACGTTCCAGACCTTAAGGGCAAAAACTACAAGCAGATTCGAACTCCGTGCGGCCGATTCTATAAGATGGTCTCGTTTCAAAAAGGTCACGGCAAGTGCTTGCCTTTCCCTAGTAAGAAGATAGAAATATTGAGCGTAAAATAGCAAAAACACAAAATAAATATTTACCCGATAAAGAATTGACTACTCGTGCCCACAAAATTTCAATTTATTGAGTGGGAGGTCGAATTTGACTTCGCAACTTCTCGAGCACATCTTGCTGTTCCTAAAAGATCAAACTTTTCACTAAATGAGCTCGCGAAATTTTTACCTTCAGCTGACTGGCTTGCTCTTCGATTATTTGATCACGTTTAGCGAGTTCATTGGCCTTTTCGACGGCTTCTTTTACTAAAAACGCAAATAATCTTCGATTCGAAACAAAAGAACTTACATTCAGCATCCTGCAGGAGACTAAGAAGCTTCAAATAACGTTCCTTGTACTTTTGCTCGCCATGTGAAGCCTAAACAGATAACTTTAACAACATAAATCTTAGCTTTCAAAAATGATACGAATTCCCACCCGCAAAACCTTTTCCCGTTCGATTCCGAGTTCATTGGTCAACTTCTTGATTTGATCTTGCAGAAGGCCGATGAAGACTTGGTTTGAACCCGTTGATTTTTGAAGAATCGTCTTAAAATCATTTCTTTAAGTTAAACTATCAAAAACTTACATCAAGTGGGTCCTGTTCAGCGACCATTCCATAAAGCGGAGCTCCAGCAGCTGACTAAAAACCAAGTTTGCAAAATAAAATAAGTTTCTAGACCTGTTGAGGTTTCAATGACTTGAGACTTTGCGCGATTGCTTCATTCAGCTCCTAAACAAAAAATGGTTTACAATATAAATTAATCTTTTTACTTCTTTGCTCTTCTTGTCATCCTCCATGAATTTGAGACTTTCTTCGATTGCTTGTGTCAAGTCCTGAAAGTAACATTTGTTAAACACTGAAGTATCAAACAAACATCCGTTCCCATGTCCGGCAAATCCTCGGTCTGGCTTGGCTCTTCAGGAAAAGCATCTTTCTAAAGGAAATATTATCATAGCAACTAACTAGGGAAAGGCACCAGGTCAAGTTGGTCTTTTAATACGAGAGCCACGAGACTCTATAGAATCGGCTATGCTGATTCTGAATATGCTTTTACTTTTTCCAAAGGAGCTCTGTAACACGAGATATCCGGCATCAAAGTTTAGACCTATTTTCGGAGTCTTGTAAAGCTTTTTCACTTTTCGTTGAATAAAAGCAAAAAGAATATACCGGGTGCGCACTCGAACCCGGGCAAAAAATTCTGGAGGCGAGCACACTATCCACTGCGCCACTAGCTCTCTATTGAAGAAAGAGAGAAAAAGCTTATAAGGACTCCGAAAATCGGCCCAAACTTTGATGCTAGATGCTAGATATTTCGCGCTACAAAGCTCCTTTGGAAAAAGTAAAAGCATATTCAGAATCAGTATAGCCAATTCTATAAAGCCCTCGTATTAAAAGGCCACCTTGACCTGGTGCCTTTCCCTAGTAAGTAATCACAACAAACCATTTCCGTTGCCTTTTTCTTCGGTTGTCGTTGCTTTTTCTCTTTGGCATGAACGATAAATCCTCCGTGTATTTGCTTGCCCTTGCTCTAAAGAAGATTTTTTATAAGAAACAAACAAAGAACTTACCGTTGAAGATTTTGCTTCATCCTCGGAGTCTCCTTCGATCTTCAAAACGGAAAATCGGGATGGACGGGCTGACATTCTCTGAAAGAAAATATAAATTATTGGGAAAATAGAGAAAATAGTTTAAAAGGAATAAAACGGATTGAATAGAACAAAACAAGTTTTTTGATTCAAAACAAGAAGCAGAAGTTTATGCATCAAGAGAGCTGTTTCTTTAAATACCCATTCATTTTTAGAAATAGATATTCAGTTGATAATTAATTTAAACCATTAACTCAAAAGATATTCAGGGAACCCTTTAAAAGCTGCAAAAGCCTCCGAATTTCATTTATAATTTTTTTTTTAAAATCTCATTGACTTTTTTTTGATAGCTTTTTTGAAAGCTTACCCAACACTTACACAATTTCAAGCGTGTTTTCCTAGCGTAAGCAAACGTTTAGCTACCGCCTTACATCTCTTTCCCTTCCTCTTTTGCTAAAAAGCATCCTGTGCACCTTGGCGCGCAATTGATTTTCCCTGAGTAATAATTGCCCACGTTCCCTCTCTTGATGACTCATTTCTTGTGCTATTCATTTCATTATTATGTTTACCTTTGCTCCAATCTCTAACTTTCAAAATTTAGATGTCAACTCGTAAGCAGCGATCGAAAAACGTGGCAAGTCAACAAGCTGAGCTGTCGTCCAATCAGGGGTAAAGCTTAACCCCTTTATAAAAAGTTACCTAAGCAAATTGGGCAAATTAATATAAAACCCATTTCGCGCCTACGATCAATTTCGAAAACTTATGTTTTTTGTGTTCATCTTTTCCCTCTCTCCATGCGCCATGCTCTCTCGTAGAGTAGTCGCTTGGAGCCTCGGCCGCCAGCCGACCAACTACTGAAAAGGCCCTCCAAATATTGAGCGATTTTGTTTATTAAACATTCACAATAATGCCCACTAAACGTCGCGCAGCTCAATCAGACGAGTTAGTCTTTCAATGATTAATTAATTTGCGTAATTTACTTCTTTTTAGTTCTAATTCGACTTTGGACTCATCCCATGTGTCATCACGTCAAGAAGAGAAAGAGTTCCTGGGAAACCTCAATAGTCGACTTGGGGCCTACATTGATGTGAGTTATTTATGTCTTAGGTCTTCAATTGGTATTTGGTATTTAGCGTGTGCGCCAACTGGAACAGGAAAATAATCGATTGATTGTGCAAATCAAGGACATCGAGATCGTCGAAAAGAAAGAGAAGGACAACTTGGCTGGTCGCTATGAGGTGGAGAAGGTAATAGTTTGGCAATCTTGCTTGTTTACCTTTAGTTGGTTTAGGATCGTCTTCGTCAACAATTGGATATCAATGCAGCTCGCTTGGCAAAACTGGAGATTGAAAGGGACACTGCTGTAGCTGGAAGCGAGGTATTTATTGAATTTCAATATCAAGTGCTAGTTATCTGTTTAGGAATTGGAGGCTCGAGTGATTCGACTTGAACGCGATCTGAAGTCGGCAGAGAATCAGCGAGCTCAGGCCCAAGGTCTTCTCGATAACATCCAGGCTCGTCTCAGCGGACTCGAAAACAAGAACAAGTCGCTCGATGCAGAGAATGGGGTAAAAAATTTCGTTTATTTGCAAGATAATTGTTTGCCTTTTAGGAGCTTCACAAGGAAAATGATCGTCTACGCAAACAAGTGGCCGCTTTGAAGAAATCGCTTGAGGATGAAAGCTTTTTGCGTGCTGAACTTCAGAACAAGCTTCGATCTGCTACGGAAGAACTGGACTTTGAGCGAAATAATCATCGCCAGGTAATATTTATTTTTTTTGTTGTGCTATCCTTTTTTAGCAAATCGAGGATGTTCGCCGCAAGCGTCAAGTGGAGATGACGACGATGTCAAAGCAAATCGAGTCGGAGTACGAGAACCAATTCAACGAGAGACTTCAAGAGATGCGCCAAGATTTTTCCGACAAGCTTGCCGCCAATCGTGCAAATTTCGATGACCAATACAAGAACAAACTCAACGAGGCACACGATTCGGCCGAGAGATTCCGCGATGAAGCCTTCCGCTTGCGTCTCCAGGTATGACCGATTTGCACTGGGTTTTCTTAAGTTTGAGTTTTAGGTTTCGGATTTGGAGAAGCAACACCAGAGTATGGATACAATGCAGCGAAAGGTGGCGGCACTTGAGTCAGAGCTTGATCGCCTCCGACGGGAGATGGATGACAAGCTGGCTTCAAAAGACGATCGTATTTACCAACTCAACCAGGAGATTCAACGAATGATGCAAGAATACCAGGATCTCATCGACATCAAAATTCAACTGGATGCCGAGTTGAAAGTCTATCAAGCATTGCTGGAAGGAGAGGTTTGTAGTTTCTTTGCTATGGTTTAGCACTTAATTTTTAGGAATCACGCCTCAATCTTACATCGGGAACTTCACCAAATGTCTCCACTCGCCATGTTTCTTTCACCACTAGCAGCGGAACAAAATCTGCCCAGCGTGGAGCCAAAAGAAAGCGTGTCAGCAATGGAGATGAATACCCGGAATTTTCGCATCATCAAAGACGTGTGAGTTTTGAAAAACTTGTTACATTAATTTGAGCACTATAAATATGTTACTTTAGTATGAAAGCGGCAACAAAGGAGCAATCTCGATCGAGGGAGCTGACATCGATGGAAAGTCAATCTCATTGCGCAACAACTCTGAGGAAGATGTTTCTCTTGGAGGATGGGAGGTATGCTGAAAAAATTTCACATATAAAGTCTCTTTGTATAGCTCAAAGTTATGGCCGATGATCGCGAGGTGGTTTACAAATTCAACCAGAAGTTGACGCTTCGAGGCAATCACACTGTCAATGTTTGGTCGGCGGATTCCGGAACCAAGCACTCGCCACCACACGATCTTGTGATGAAGAATCAAAACTGGCCAATTGGCTCCAATCCAGAAGCGGCTCTTGTTGTGAGTTGATTTTTTTACCAAATATTTATGATGTAATTGATATGGTTTCTTTGCAATTTCGTTTCTTTCAGGACTCGTTTGGTGAAAAGCAGGCATGGATGTTGGCTACACACGACTCTCAATCCGGCGAGAACCCAGGAGACCGTTGCTCCATCATGTGAAGATCGCTTTCGTATTGTGTTTTCATCAACCTCCCACGTATGGTCTCTCTTTGTAGCGCGTTTGTTGTGTCTAAAAATTGTTCTCGATTTTTTACTGCCGGTTTTTTTACAAATTGTCTCACCCGTGTAGACCTTCTATTGATTTACCGAACATTATTTATGGTTAGAATGTTCTTTTGGTTTTAGGCATAAAGCCCAATTGTTGTTTTGTAATGAACGCATGTTCCTGTTTTAACCACCGGTTTTACAAATGAAATAAATTTTTATAAAAAGTAAAAGCTATCAAAAAGAAAAACAATTGAGCAACATCAGCAATCGGTTAGACTTTAAAGGAGTGGTATGTCTGCTTGGAATTTGCAATTGAGTTGGCACTTTGGTGCCGATAGGTACTCTCAGCTTTGCCGATCAACCACGGGAGGAAGTCCTTGTTGATTTCTGAATTTGGTTTGATACCTTTCACTTGATCGATGCTACCTGTATTCATCAGTTCAATTCTTCCGTCATCCCGTATTGAATGGACCTCACCCGTTGCTATGCTTCTCACTCTTCGCCGTGTCTTTTCCAAAGCCTAAATTGGTTGATTTTGTGAGATTTCCTCATCAATACTTCGAGATTTCTGATTGCACGAATCGTCAATCGTTGACAAGTATCAAGGGCTGCTTGATGGCTTCTTTCAAGATCGTCGATTTTACGCTCAGCTGTACTCAGTTCTTGTTTCTGGAAATTTGATGCTTTTAACGGAAACACGTGGCTTACCCTTTTCTCAAGTTCAGACTTGAGACTCATCGTCGTTCTCTTGTGACACTCGTTTCCTTTCATCAACAACCCTTCGAGACTAAAAATCGACTTTGATATCGAGTTTTGGACTCAATAGAATTTCAATGGCTTTCTCGTAAACGAACAATTCGATTCGAAGATTCGCAATAGCGTCTCCGATTGCTCGATCGGCCAACCCGGCAATTGTCTCGTTCACAAAGACATCGAAATTCTGAAAATGAGAAAAATTGAGTTAACCCTTTGAGTCAACAAAAATCTTTTCTTTTTTTTTCTGAGAAAAGTAATGTCCGGGGAAATGATTTGTTTGTCAAATGAAATGGGCGATTCGCCCATTTCATTTGAGGCCGCAGAGTTGGAGGTGAAAGCAAATAAAAAGCATGGGAAAATTCGGTGATTCGGAATTGTGGATGGTAATCGGTGGGGGATGGCTTTTTTCAAGTTTGATTTTGAGCTTTGAGCTTTGATCAATCGGGGGAAAAAGGGATCTTCAACGAAAAGCTATGAAGCGATGAAAAGCCGACGAAAAGCAATTGGATTAAAAGCTAAGCAATTGTATCGAATTTTAAATCAATTCGAAAACTTTGACCCTCTCATCTCATTTTTCGTTATCGACTTTCGATTTTCCGTTTTTGTTTTCAAAATTTGCAAAGAGGCTCTGAAAGGAATCGAAACCGATCTTCTGCTCGAACGATTCGTAGACAGACGATCTAGCAATTGAGCTACAGCTGCTTTGCTTGACAGCGAGACAGAAAGTAGAAGAGGGGGAAGAAGAAGAAGGAGAAGAAGAAGGAGAAGAAGAAGAAGAAGAAGAAGAAGAAGAGGAAGAAGAGGAAGGAGAAGAAGAGGAAGGAGAAGAAGAGGAAGGAGAAGAAGAGGAAGAAGAAAGGCTCCAAGAGGAATCGAACCCTCGACCTCTTTCTGACCCAGTAGAATAGTTGGAATGACTGACTAGAGTCAATAGCTGGAATGGTCGGCTAAAGGCAATGGCTTGAATGACTGGCTACAGTCAATGATCCGAATGGCTGGCCACAGTAGTCTGATCTAGTTCTGTAGTTGGTAATGAGCCAGCTCTAGTAGCCGGCTCTAGTAGCCAGCTCTAGTAGCTAGTAGACACTCTACGGATTGAGCTACAAGCGTTTGACTTGCCAGCGAGAAAGAAGCCAGAAGAAGAGGGATAAGAAAAGCTTTATCCAAAAGAATCGCAAATACCTCATCGGTTTGAGCTGAAGCCGAGCATGGGGATGGTGGGGATAAAGAAGAAACGAATGGCTGTTTAATGGGGAGAAAAGTCGATGAAGCGGATGAAGTCGATGATGAGGGGGAATCGGTTGAATGGCGATGGGGTGAATGGACCGGAAATCGAGATTGGAGATGGAGGGAAGAGACATGGCGGGAGCACTGCAATTTCGAGATTAAGTGGATAAGTGGGCACTTTGCTCTTGTAAACGCGGCCTTTCTAGCGCACCAAATGTGACAGGGTACTGTGTACATAGTACTGGTACGTACTGACCTACTGTACATAGTACTGGTGCGTACTGCACATAGTACTGATGCGTACCGTACATAGTACTGGTGTGTACGGTATATAGTACTGATGCGTATGTACATAGTACTGATGCGTACTGTACATAGTACTGGTGCGTACTGTACATAGGAGTTGCGGATACTGTACATAGTACTGATGCGTACCGTAAATAGTATCGGCGCGACGCACTGTACATAGTACTTGAGCGTACTGTACATAGTACTGATGCGTACTGTACATAGTACTTTTGCGTACATAGTATTGAGGGCATACTGACGTGCTGTACGTATTTTTAAATAGTACTAGTACGTACTGACATACTGTACATAAGCCACCTAAGGGCTTAGTACGCCAGAAAGCGTATGTTTGGGTTAAAGCAGCAATTCTCGTGTACTTTGAGTGCAAATTTGTAAATGCACCCTTTCTGGTGCACGAAATGTTTCACTTTTCCGAGAAAAACAGGATTCAGTGCACCAGAAAAGGTGAGTTTACAGCACAAAGCACAAAGTACACAACATTAGAAGCTTTCATTTCAAAGTGCGGTATTGTGAACGATTTTTTGAATATATGTAAATCAGTCAAGAAAACCGGCTGACGGTGTTTTTGTGGCTTTTCTGCCGGGGGCTTTCCGTGTTGAGGTGGCGCAGTCGGGAGCGCGCTTTTCTACTAAACCGAACACAGTGGGGCTCGGCCGTGGGTTCGACTCCCCTTCCAAACATTTTTGATTTTTTGCATTTTTTCGCTTCCCAAACTCCGCCAACTCGATTGCAGAAAGGCTACGTTTGAAAGGCTACGTTTAAAAGGCTACGTTTAAAAGGCTACGTTTGAAAAGCTACGTTTTAAAGGCTACGTTTACAACTGTTGAGTGCAAAGTACCCACTCTTCCTCTCGATTCCTTTAGAATTCGAGTGTTAATAATTCGATCATTAAATGTTATTGAAGAATTTGAATCGATTTGATTCGATTTGAATCGATTTGAATCAATTTTGTCTACCTTTCTCGAAATGATCCTTTTCGTGACGGCTTTCTCGACTCCATTCACCGAAAGGGGATCTTAAAAATCGATTTTGAAGCTTAAAAAAGGAAAAAGAGGGAGAGGGTAAAGGGGAAAGGGGAAAGGGTAAAGGGGTAAAGGGTAAAGGGGAAAGGGTAGAGGGTAAAGGGGAAAGGGGAAATTAAAGGCTAAATTAAAGGCTAAATTAAAGGCTAAATTCAAAAATCCTTTTGATTCTCATTTCTCTTTTCATTTCTCTTTTTTTTATTTCTCTTTTCGCTTAAAAAGCTTCTTACTGTCTCTGTTTGCTAAAAATAAAGTGAAAAATGAGTTTACAAAGAGTTTACAAAGGTTTTAGAGTTCACAAAGAGTTCACGAAGGTTTTAGAGAAATTTTGCAAGGGATTTGTAACAAAAAAATGATTTCTCATGTTTTAACCATCAAAACCTACGCTTTCCGGCCTACTAAGCCCATTTAGTGCACCAGAAAGGCTACGTTTGCAACTGTTGAGCGCAAAGTACCCACTCTTCCTCTTCCCTTATCCTCTTCCATAAGGATAAGGATAAGGAAGAGGATAACGGAAGGGGAAGAGTGGGTAGTTTGCACTCAACAGTGGCAAACGTAGCCTTCCTAATCCTCTTCCTTATCCTCTTCCCCTTCCTCCTTCCTTACCCTTCCTTCTCTCTTCCTTTCCCTCTTCCTTATCCTCTTCCCTTATCCTCTTCCTTATCCTCTTCCTTATCCTCTTCCTTATCCTCTTCCTTATCCTCTTCCTTATCCTCTTCCTTATCCTCTTCCTTATCCTCTTCCTTATCCTCTTCCTTATCCTCTTCCTTATCCTCTTCCTTATCCTCTTCCTTATCCTCTTCCTTATCCTCTTCCTTATCCTCTTCCTTATCCTCTTCCTTATCCTCTTCCTTATCATCTTCCTTATCATCTTCCTTATCATCTTCCTTATCATCTTCCTTATCATCTTCCCTTCCAAATGGGTACCAAATTGGAATCAAATGGAAACCGAATAAGAACCGAATATGGAACAGAATCGGAACCGAAATGAATGAGAACTAAATTGGAACCAAATCGGAACCAAATCGAAACCAAATCAGAACTGAAACGAATCAAAACTAAATCGGAACTGTATCTCTTCTCTTTAAAAAAACCGTAACCGGATTTGGAAAGAAACCGTACCCGTTCCCTTGTTAGTTATACTCTTCTCTACAACTTTCACCAAACAATTTAAGAAAACACTTTAGAGGTGACTTGTCACAATAAAGTCGTGGAAATATTTGTACCTTTAACAAGACGCGATGGGTAGAGAGTGTGTTGAAGGGGAGAGGTGGAGGGGAAGAGAGGGGAGGGAGGGATGGGAGGGATGGGGAAGGGAGGGATGGGGATAGCGTCTCTCCTGTTTCCCCCAGCCTCCCCTTTCCCCTCTTCGGTGACACATTGGCGGCAAGCAGCGCCATTTTTCCTTGCTCTTTTCCCCGTCTCGTCCATTCCTGAACACATTTCAATTTTGTGGTCCTTTTTCGCCTTGCTGTGGGTGGTTACTAATGAAAAAAGGGAATCGGGGATGGAAGAAAAAAGGAAAACTTTACAAGGAGAGCTTGCTTAGAAAGGTTTACAAGGAAGGCTGCACAAGGAGAGCTATACAAGGAAGGCTTGCTTAGAAAGGTTTACAAGGAAGGCTATACAAGGAAAGCTTTCCAATCAAAGCTTTCCAATCAAAGCTTCCCAATCAAAGCTTTCCAATCAAGACTTCCCAATCAAAGCTTTCCAATCAAGACTTCCCAATCAAGACTTCCCAATCAAAGCTTTCCAATCAAAGCTTCCCAATCAAGACTTCCCAATCAAGACTTCCCAATCAAAGCTTTCCAATCAAAGCTTCCCAATCAAGACTTCCCAATCAAAGCTTTCCAATCAAGACTTCCCAATCAAGACTTCCCAATCAAGACTTCCCAATCAAGACTTCCCAATCAAAGCTTTCCAATCAAACCTTTCCATTTTTACAAAGAGTACAACTTAAGATTTCTGTCCTAATTCTAATTCTAGCTCTTGTTGTACAAATTCTTGCAAAAAAAACAAATTTAGAATTAGAATTTGGGAGGAATTCTAGACCCAAAACACTCATAAGCCTTAAAAAAGTATAAAAAAGCTTTTATTCTGAGCTAACTGATCTTTTCTTCTGATCTAACTAGAATGTTTCTGTAAACTTTTCTGTCCAATATCTATTTCAAAGTTTAAAAACTAGATTTTTATAGATCTTGAACCTTTTATTGAGCTGCTGCTGCTCTAACTGCTCTAACTGCTCTAACTGCTCTAACTGCTCTAACTGCTCTAACTGCTCTAACTGCTCTAACTGCTCTAACTGCTCTAACTGCTCTAACTGCTCTAACTGCTCTAACTGCTCTAACTGCTCTAACTTAATGGTTTAATATCATCTAGCTATCACGATGATCTAGCTATCACGAACTACTTGACATAACTACTTGATAAGGATATTATTTTGGACTACTAGATGGCTAATGATTTAAACTAGATGATGATCTAAACTAGATGGCTAATGATCTAAGCTTGATGGCTACTTGACAAGGCTATTATTTTGGACTACTAGATGGCTAATAATCTAAACTAGATCTAAAAAATCCTATGACAAGTAAAATGCCTAAAAAAAGACCTCCTTTCTATTCAGCTCTTCGCTTTGAATCTATCTTTGGCTTCAATAGCTTTCCCTTTCCCTCAATAGCCTTCAATAGCTTTTTCTTCTTTTCTCCAAGACCCAACTAATGAAAAAGTGAATGGGAGAGGGACTAGCATTTAATAAACTGAAAGAATTGGGAAAGAAAGATTTCCGGAAACGGGATTGAATCATCGATCTTTCCCTTTCCAATTGCCCTTTCCCTTTCCAGTCAATTGCTCTAATAACAAGAGAAAGAAGGGAGACCTTTTCCCTTGACAAGGGAAAAGGAAAGAAGACTTTCCTAAGACTTTCTGTTAAGCACATACCCAATCGGTTTTGTGAGAAGTGCGGTGTGAATATGTGGCTGAAGGAGGCATCTCTCGTGGCGTTTCGATGAAATGCTTGAGTAAGATTTGGAGGAGATTGATGGAAGAAAGGGGAAAGGTTGAGAAGAGTTTGATGGAGATGATGATTGCGAGTTCGAGGAAAAGGAAAGAGATCCGGCACTGAAATTATTGATGTCTTAAATAGCTTAAGTAGCTCTTGCTTGAGCATAAGTAGCTTCTACTTGAGCTTAAGTAGCTCTTGCTTGAGCTTGAGCTTAAGTACCTTCTACTTGAGCTTAAGCAGAAGCTTAAGTAGCTCTTGCTTGAGCATAAGTAGCTTCTACTTGAGCTTAAGTAGCTCTTGCTTAAGCTTGAGCTTAAGTAGCTCTTACTTGAGCTTGAGCTTAAGTAGAAGCTTAAGTAGAAGCTTGAGTAGCTTCTACTTCAGCTTAAGTTCCACATGAGTTGACCCAAATATCTCGTGTCACTCTGTGCTCCATCTTGCTTCATAACAACAAATCACACGATTCTTTCAATAGAACCTTGACTTCTGATGAGCTTTTGGATCAGTTATAACAATTTAACTCAAAAAAATGGCTCTTTCCTCGAAAATCTACCTAGTTAAGCACGGTTAGTCTCTGGTTCGAGCACGGTTAGTCACGGTTAGTCTCTGGTTCGAATCCAGCAGATGAATCAGGGATATCTTCCGTGAACCGAGTGCTGTAGGTAACCGCATTCATATGGCTCAGACTTAGTTCTCAACTGGTTCTCAAGACCGGTTCCCCTAGACCCCTTTCCGTCGGGATTGGGATCCAAATGAATAGACGTGTCTAAGACGCAAGCTGATATAAAGCGGGTAGCCTAAATCGTCCTACAACGTTCCTACATCGTCCTACATCGTTCTACATCGTCCTACAACGTTCCTAGATCGTCTCATCTTCACAAACGATAGAAAAAGTAAATTGTGATCACACAATAGATCACCGGTAACCGGTAACGATATTATTATTTCAAAATCAATGACTCTTTGCTAGTGTAGCCCCGCAAATAGCTTAAGCTCAATATCAATGGATCGAAGATTCCTCAAAGAAAGAATCCCTACTGAATCTCATCGTTCACTTGTCAAAGCGAGCTTGGGATCAAAGATTATGCTCTGTTTGGGAATTCAAAAAGATTATTGCATTATGAAGTGCTAAAACCTAGACAAAACAGTCGCAGATCTTTACTAATGAGAGTTAACAATGCGTTAAAGAAATTGGGTCTCAATCAACACTGTGTCATCACAGCCTTGTGACTTAGCCAGCTTTAGTTAGCCAGCTTTAGTTAACCAGCTTTAGTTAGCTAACTTCAAAGCTGTTTTCAAAACTCTTTGATCTTTGCACTCTTTGATCTTTTACACTCTGATCTTTTACACTCTGATCTTTTGCACTCTTTGATCTTCTAACCCTCTTTGATCTTCTTAATGAATCTACTCTTATAGATGAAAGCCTTTCCCATTCACTTGCCATATTTGTGTGTCTTTGTTGTTGATCTCTTTGTTGATCTCTTTTCCCATTCCTCTCATTCCTCTCCCTTTCTCTTCTCCTTTTCTTTCTCGATACGGTTTATTCGTTTCTTCTTTCCTCACCATTTCCACTCTCATATTGCAAGCGGGGAATTTGAGGGAATTTCTGTAAACTAAGCAATTAGATTAGGCTCTGAATAGAGGATAATTAGAAAAAGATTTCTATAGTAATCTATAGTAATCTATAGTAATCTATAGTAATCTATAGTAATCTATAGTAATCTATAGTAATCTTTAAGCCTTTTCTAGATTAGATTGTTTTTAATTGCTTTTGGGGAGCTATTAGATGAGACTAGATGGACTTTAGCCTCTAAATGGAAGAAATTTTGTGGGAAATTTTGTGGGAATTTTGAAAAACTCAAATCAATCAGTTGATAAGCGGTAAATCTTTCAGAAACATAGAGATAGGAAAGGTGTACAAGGTCATTCTTCAAACATTGAAAAGATTGATTGGACTAGAGTGGATTAGACGTTGGTAGACGATTAGACTAGAGTAAAAAGGATTAGACTAGAGTAAAAAGGGATTAGACTAGAGTAAAAAGGGATTAGATTTGATTAGAGTTAGTGGAAAGGGTTAACGGGGTTTTGGATGGTTTAAATAGGTTTTGAGAGTTATGTTTAAGTCTTTAACAAGGATGAACTGGAATTGGAACTGGAGTTGAAACTGGAACTGGAGTTAGAACTTGAATTGGACGTGGAATTGGAATTGGAATTGGAATTGGAACTGGAATTGGAATTGAACTGGAACTTGAACTGGAATTGGAACTGGAATTGGAATTAGAACTGGAATTGGAACTGGAACTGGAATTGGGATTGGAACTGGGTTGGAACTGGAGTTAGAACTGGAATTAGAACTGGAATTGGAACTGGAACTGGGATTGGGATTGGAACTGGGTTGGAACTTGAACTGGAACTTGAACTGGAACTGGAATTGGAACTGGAATTAGAACTGGAGTTGAAACTGGAACTGGAACTTGAACTGGAATTGGAACTTGAACTGGAACTTGGACTGGAACCTGAACTGGAATTGGAACTTGAACTTTAACTTGAACTTGAACTAGTATTGGGAGTATCAGACACTGATCTAACAGTGTCAGAACAATAGTACAAGTAGTACAAAGACATTGGCTTAGTGCTAGTTTAGTTTGGACTGATTTAATCTGGTTTAGTCTAGTCTGACACTTTACTAGCAATTTTTACAAAGCAAACTGTAGCCTAGCTTTTCCTAGAATTGTAGATTTTGTTGTAGTTCTTTCTTTTTCCATTCTTTCTATTGTACTGATTCCAAACGCCTTTCACGGTCTACAAGACTAGGAAAGAGGCAACACAAAAGTGGACAAGGTCACGATTGGTTGCACGGGGAAAGTTGAATGGGGAAAGTGTTTGAAAGAGCTATAAAAAGGAATTGGGGGGAGTGACTCTGTGAAAGAGAGAGGCTGGGATTAGGACGTACAAGTGGGAACCCCCAGTCCATCTCTAGCCCAGTCCATCCCCAGCCCAGCCCAGTCCATCCCTAGCCCAGTCCAGCCTCAGCAATACAAGTACCCCTCCCCCCTTTCTCCCCTTTCTCCAACTCACCGACTGTTGCTCCTCTTTGCATCAAATTTCCACTTTTCTCATCTCTCATCTCTCTCCATTCATTTCTCTAAATCTTTCCATCTTTTCTGTCTCATTCTAAACTCTAAACATGTTGCAAAATCAAAAAAAAAAACGAGGGGATGACAAAAAAACATTTCTCCATTTATCAAATGGAGAAATCGGCTGAAATAGAGAATCGAGAGCGAACTTTGCCCTGGGATAATAAATCTCTTCTATACATCTATTCACAAGATCTATCTACAAGATTAATGTGGCACAAAGAATATACAAGCACAACTCTTAACACTCAACCGTTAAGGAAAGAGATGAGGAAAGAAAAACAAAAGTT